CGTTTCGCGTCGGTACGTTCGAGTCAACGTTGAGCGCACAACGCCATGTTTTTTAGCTATTTTAGACCAGGGGATTTGATCTTTAGATTCGAAAGTATCACACTCTTCAAGCGCTTCTTCTAAGCCCATTGCGTTGTATTGTTGTAAAGTTGAGACGATAGAGAGGTTTTGGTGGTTCGGCGCATTGCGCGAATCCGCGCATTCCGCGCACGGACACAGTAGACCCTGGGAGAAAAACCCCCGATTCGTTTCATATGCTGAAAGTTATTGCTGTCAGGGAATTCTGCATTCTTAGGTATCCTGTCCAGGCGGGGGTTCGGGATTTAACTCTGCAAGGATAAAGACTAGGCTATTGAATCATGTTCGCCCGTAATATACACAAGCATGTTCATCTATCGTGCTGGCCGTCCTCAGCTTCACATGCAAGGTGGCTGTCCTCGTCAGCCCCTATCACAGTGCCGCAGAACCCCCAAGGTGCTTTTGCAGAGTGCTTTTTCTTCAGTGTAAAGCATTTATTGATGATACTTCGTTTGTGCTTACGAGAGTATACGAGAGTACGAGTCCACAAGCTGACGACGCTAGCGGTCAACCAGACGTTGTGAATGTTTCAAAGTCTCGGGATGTGGATGTGGTGTAGGCCTTGCTAGTGTAAATACATCCAAAAACCGATCGATGGCCACCTCTGGTTGCATTAGCCTCTCTCTGTAGACGGACCGTGTTGCGCGTCAAACTCAGCGCGTTACTTTGCGCGGCCTCGCCCGTTAAGCACTAAGACTGGAAGAGGGAGAGCCGATGACGGTGGTGGGCCATAGTCTAGGTGGTTCTAGTTCCCTAGCGACTTCCGCGTAGACCCTTTAACCTCAGCACGCGCCGCACCGCCCGAACCCCCGATCCTGTTCAAGTTACGCCAAACTTGCATGCCCATGTATACACGGCGGAACAAGGGCCTAGAGCGACACCTCCACCAACAGTTTGTGTTTCAAGCGAGGGTAATTGGTGGCTGCTGCAAATAATTGCCTAGCATGCCTTTCTCCAAGCCTAGAGGTTGTTTTACCAGGCCTCCTGGACACACTAACTCGAGGCTCACTAACGGCCAGAGTATTTAGTCTGGGCAATGTCTCTGCACTGAATCATACTCGCTTGCCTGTCCTTTACCTCGACCGTTAGCATCCGCCTGCAAACTCATTCTCCCATCATTCATTACTCATCCCTATACTACTCTGTAAACATGCCAGACTGCGCATGGAAGGAGACCCGCCCAGGGCGCTGGGAGCGTCCCCAAAGCTACCTCGAGAAGATGAACATACTCACCCGCAATGTTCCTAATGCTATTGGCCGCGATAACTGGGCCAAAAACGCTGTTGCTAAACTCAAATTCCATCCCGATATCAAGGATCCCGCTGCCTATCTCAAAACCGCATGGAAACAGGTCCGCTACAACCACCCCGAGATTGCTGCTTTCCCATACAATGGCAACTATGTCTATCGTGTTGGCGACGCTGAGTCCATCGCCTTGTGGGTGTCGGCCACTTTCTCCGTTGCCGAGGGTAAAACAGTTGATGAGCTGTTGGGCCGTATCCCAAGGAACGAACAGATGATGTGCTACTTCCTTCCCGATACATCCGAAGTCATGATCTGGTCCCCACACTACCGCGTCGATGCCCGGGGAGCAATCTTCTGCCTCAATCATCTTGTTGAATCACTCGCCAACATGAATCCAGAATTGGTGTTTGGCGGATGTGCCAAGAACTTGACTCCGAGCATGGAGGATACTCTTCATATCAATCACGAGATAACGCCTGCCATTGAAGCTCAGGCAGAGAGCCGGCTCGCTGCCCTTGAGCCACACAAGCCAGCCCTGGAGTTGAAGCCAAAGGTCAAGTCTCAGAGGCCGGGGTATACACAAAGGCATTTTGTCAAGCTCTCTAAGAGCGACACAAAACTTGTCATGGATTGCTGTGACAATGCAGCGCTCGCCTTGGATGTGACACTGCATGCGGCTCTCGTGAATGCTGTGGTAAAACTGGCACCGACTGACGAAGCGCGGAGCTTCATGGCTTCATTCCACTACAATCTCCGTACGCTTATTCCCGAGGGTGAAGCTCCAGAGAACTCGCCAACAAGCTATACGAGCGTGCTTACAACTGAGGTGGTTGTCTCGCCATGGACCGACTTCGACTCGTATTACGCTCAACTCGCACCTGTCTATGCCACTGGCTACGCACCATACTTGGGCTCATCTCCTTACTTCCACAAGCTTCTTGAACAGAGGTTGACCGATTCAAATCTCGGAAGCAACGGCGAGACTGACGGGCAGTTGCAGCCAAGGTTTGCCTTCTTGGGAAACATTGACGACAAGCTATCCACCAATATTGGCGATGGCCTGGTCCAGGTAGAGGACTTTTGGCTCGGCGCCGAGACTTTAACCCTACGAATGATGGTGCACTCTTGGATATGGCAAGGCCAACTCGTGCTCAGTGTATGCTACAACCAGAATTACTGGGATAAGGATATTGCCGAGAGCTTGCTCCAGGGAATGCAGGAGACGTTGATAGACGTTGCGCTTAGGAAAGGTGTTGGCAAAGTTGGCCTGTAGTTGAGTCCTTTCTTTCGCACCAAGGTTTATTGCTTTTGAATTAATAACATGATATCCCTATGTAAATCTCTATTAGAATGATATTCAGGAAATAGCTTGTCCGAATGCTTTTTGCCCTTGCCAATACCTTGACCTATTGCCAAGCCTCATCTCCTCCAAGTACGTAGATATATGGACTATGCAACACTTGGCAGCGTTGTATTGCATCTAAATGCCGACTTCATTCAGGCTCTCATGGCTATGCATGCCCATGACTCTGGATGAAGTCAATAAGACTTCGCCACAATGCAACAGATGGGTGGACGGGTAATAACGGGTAGAGGTTGGAGGCGGAGTGCATGCGCACGGACGCGGAGGTGTGCGGTCGGCCTCCGATCCAATTTCTGAGTCTCATGCAAAGCCCACTGTAGGGCGACCACGCGAGGCACCACAACGCGCATTGCACTGTGCTAAAGCCAATGCACCGCTGAATAGTCGCAATAATCACATCTGAAATCTCCAAAATCCTCTCCAAAATCCACACATCTAGTCGCAGTCGGCCGCAATGGACGCCGTGCCCATCTCGAAGAAGCTGATAGCCTTTGGCAGCAAGAAGATCTACCTGTATGCCGCACATATTGGATACGTACGAGATAATTGAACTAAACGATCTCCAGACCCAAATTCACAGTCGCGCTTGTACGGACACCCAAGCTATCGCCCTACCACGCTCGCTTCCTTGTCCCGCTCGACTTTTCAAAATATGATCTCCGCGACTATCTCTACCATGCGTACAACGTCAAATGTTTCAACATCCGCTCGTACGTAAAGCAAATGCCCGTACGGGACACGCGCGAACAGCCACGGCACTGGTTCCGCCCAGAATCTCAAAAGTACATGACTGTGGAGATGGAGCAGCCTTTTGTGTGGCCTGAGATTCCCGACCTGGAGCCATGGGGACAACGAGAGAAGCATAATGAAGTTGAAGAGGCAACAAGGATAAATGGGCCTATAAACAATAATGACAAGCGCGAAGCGGCCCGGAAACTGCGGGAGCAGGCAATGAAGTTACTATACAAGGATGTGGGCCGTCGCGGTGAGATATCACAATTATCAGAGGAGGTGGATGCACAGGATTCGGAGGCTCAGGTGGAGCGAGAGCGGGAAGAGAGGATGCTGAAGCGTATGTCCAGAATAAAACTGTGGGAGAAGGAGAGGACGGGCAAGGCTGTGGAAAGCGACAACCGCAAGCACTACGCCATTAAGGCATGAGTCGATTGAGCGCTATGTATGTATGCTTGTATTATATTCATCGGGATGGGGCAGAAAATCATGAATACTGGGATACAAACTCGGGCCATTACTGCTGGGCTGCGTGCTGTAATCTGTATTGCGCAAATGACAAATGATCAGGACATACATCTGACAGCACACTTATTGACTGGGCTTATATGAGTCTCAAATAAGCAATGGACGTCTTGGAAGAGAAAAGGCCCTACATGGTGCCTCAGTACAGGGTGCAGCAATTGGCATGGTGGTAACGTAGTTGCTCCTTCCTCAGCAGTGACTGACTGATCACACACACACACACCGCAAACCTCTTTCCAAGCTATGGATTTGTTACACTGCCATTAGAGCTATCACCATCACTGCCACCTCGCTCAAGACATACTAATGGCGAACCAGCAAGAAGTATATATGAGTTGCGTTGCTCATTTGTCGGCGCAGAGCTGATAGCCAGGGCCCTGTGATTGCATCAAGTCGGCGTCACCGTTCCCCACAGCAAGAGTACATCATGATACGAGCAATTATCTTCACAGAAGCTACACACGAGAAATGGAGATTGGTGACCGAGAGCAGCAAGCCGTACTTTAGCCTCACTCGTGCACTACAAGAATTCTCAAAAGACTTGGAGCGGCAGATGGAAGACATGACGGGGATTCTTAGTCTAAGGGAGGAGGGACTCTACGCTGACAGGGACGAGGATGGGAGGGATGATGGAAGCAGAAAGCGGAAGAGGTCAAAAGAGGTGTGTTGCAGACGGAGCTATCACGGTGAAATGATGTGCGATTTAGCGAAGCGAGCGGATAGCATGGAACAGACCTGGGATGTCTATGCGCTATGGTGTCATAGAGTGGACGGCAGCGGAACAGAGAATGATTGCAATTGTGAGGCTGTCTCTTGGCCCGACAGATGGAAGGTGACTGACTGGCTGCCCTCTCTACACGTCTACACGGAGCCCAAAGGGTCTGTTCCTGAGTGGTGGACAGGGCCTAAACGGCTACTACGCATGGGCACTAAGCAAGATGCCGTGACTACCGACTGGTTCCTGGGCAAAGAAGCAACAAGATGACCCCACGAGTTGCCACACAAAACAAGAAACAAGAGGCGGCCTTCGGGCATCACTGAGTTGTTTTTTTCATTTCATCAGGCAGCGTCTGGCAGGCATGGTTCATGGGTTCTAAGGTTCTGGGCCATGCCGACATGTCAGGCCACGGGCTGACAGGTGTATCCTCGCATGTTCGCTGAGGTTCGCACGCTACCACAGACATGGGCCAATAGAGAGCGACTCACGTGGTGCTGTGTCCATTGCACCCCTACACCTGATGGCTCCAGGCTTCGTCATCAAGCCAGGCCGGGTGAGTAGGAGGCGGAGGCATGCAGCGCCGAAACTTGGAACTGTGGCTAGGGAGCCTTGCGACCCGAGAGAAGAGCACAGCACAGCCGCGCGACACCACAGTAGGGCGGAACGAGTGAAGGCGCTGGTGAGCGAAAGGAGGGGTGGTGAGGTGGTGAGGTGGTGAGAAGCAGCACCGGTCAAGGCAGCGGAGGGGGCCGGAGGGGGGCTATGGCGGGCACCATGTGCATGCTCGCATTCGCAGCGAGCAAAAGAAGGCAGAGGCATGCGGTCAATGGTCAGTCAGCAGGTGGGCGAGGGCGAGAGCGTGGGCGTGGGCGTGGGCTAGCTGCAAGCACAAGCGGCAAGCCCAACAGGCAGCCTGCCGTTACGTCATAAGCAGGCCCTGGGCACTAAAGACACTGCCCACCTTCGCTCCAGCATCACACACACACACGGTAATCTCTACGCCACTCCGCCTGGTCCGACTTCGATACTAACATCCTTGGGCCCCAAGCATTTCCAACTGTCATCATTGCTCGGCCTCTTAAATACATCTGCCTGCCGCTGCCCTGCCACCCTCGACACCTTCCCCTACCCTACCCCACCCACCTTGTCACGTCACTTTCCAGGCACTCTTCATTCTTCGTTGCGCCCGCCTGCCCAACAAAGATTTGCCCCAAAGGCAAACTGAGAAAGCTCTGAGCATCACGCTCTTTGGTACGCTGCATGCGCCGAACCTTCTTGCTCTCACTTGTGCCCCCCAACTAACAAGCCATGCGCAGCGGACCCCACCCATACCACACTTTGGACCTTTGAGAGAGAGAGAGAGAGAACAACAGACGCACACACAAAGAGCATCCGCCCATCGCGGGTATAGAGCAGCACCATGTCCGAGTACAGCTATGCACCACCTCGGCACCGAAACCGGGAGCCCGAGTACGTGACCGAGACGACTTATATTGAGCGCGGCGGCCGTGGAGGCGCAGTGCGTGATCTCGTCTACCGCCCTGCAGCCCGAGAGGACAGCATCGAAGAGATCCCCCGCGACTTCCCCCCTGGCACCGAGTTCAGACAGACCAAGTACCGCGAAGAGTATGCGCCACCTCGTCGCACTCGTTCCATGAACCGCGGCTACGACGACGACTACTATGACCGCCCTCGTCGCCGTGACCGTGGTGGCCGTGACCGCGACTACGATGACTATTCCGAGTACTCTGAGCGCCCCAAGCCCTCGCGCCGTAAGTCCATTGTCGACCAGGTAAAGAGCTTCGGCGAGTCGGCAGGCTTAGGGGGAATCATCGGCGCAGTCACTGGCCGCGAGCGCTCTCGTTCTCGCTCTCGTGACCGCGACCGTTCTCGCCATCGTCGGGACGACCGTCGGGATGACCGTGGGTACGACAGCGACAGGCACGGATATTACGATGACCGCCGAAGCCGCTATGGCTCCCGTTCGCGTAGCCGTAGCCGAGGAGGCGCCAAAGAGAAATGGGAGCAGGCTGCCAAAGCTGCTCTTGTCGCTGGTGCTGTCGAGGCCTTCCGTAGCCGCAAAGAACCAGGCCCCTGGACTGGTGCCAAAGGCCAACGTATTGCCACTGCCGCTATTGGTGCAGCTGGTATCGATGGTCTCATCGACAGAGACGGAAAGCACGAGAAGAGGCACGTTGCTGAATCCGCCTTGGGCGGTCTTGTTGCTTCACGCCTAGCCAACGGCTCTCGCTCGCGCTCTCGTGCTCGTGGCCGCGATGGCTCCAGGTCTCCTTCTCGATCCCGCTCTCGTGCTAGGTCTAGGTCCATCTTTGGACGCTCTCGTTCCCGTGGACGTTCCCGCTCTCACTCAAGCGATGACGGCAATCGTAATGGTCTCGCCAAGGTTGCTGGCACTGGTGCTGTACTCGCTGCAGGGAAGGCTCTTTATGACCGTGTGCGCTCCAAGTCTCGTTCTCGACGCGAGCGATCTCGCTCTCGCTCTTCCAGCTCCGATAGCTACGTACCATCGCGTAGGGGCAACCGCCGCTCGTACAGCCGAGGCCGCGGTATGGACGACCAGTATTCCGAAGCCCCTTCCAGGACTAATTCAGATCGCAGACTAGCCGCTCCCGTTGGGGCCGGCGCGGGTGCTCTAGCAGCACAAAGCGGAGGAGGAGAACGGAGTCGATGGAATCCTAGTAGCGATTCCGAGTCGTCCACCGATATGGAGGAAAAGCGCAAGAAACTTCGAGGTAAGGAGCTTCTCACTGCGGGTTTGGCCACGGTAGCCACGATCCACGCCGCCCACGGAGTATACTCGTCAATGGTCGCCTCAGAAAATCGTCGCAAGCTCGTCAGCGAAGGAGAAATGTCACCAGAAGAAGCACGCAAACGAAAATCCAAAAATATGCTTCAAGACGCCGCTGCTGTGGGTATTGCTGCGCTTGGTATCAAGTCAGCATACTCCGAATGGAAAGAGATGAACGAGCAGCGTCACAGCGTCAAGGAGCTCGAAGCCCGCCGTCGCAAGAGGAGAAAGCTTCGGGAACGACGAGAGAAGGAGGCCCGCCTTAATGCCCTTGGCAACATGAATGGTCCAGGCGCTAATCCGTACGCATATCCTGTAGCTGTCAACCAACCCTACCCTGCTACATCCTATGCCGATTCCAATCCATACGGTGCCGCTGTGCCGCCCCCACCCATGGGTGCCAGGTACTAGACCTTCTCCCTTCTTGTTCCATTCCCGGCCTTTTCAACTCTTTTTTCTTGCTGTTTGTTCATTGCGTTGGCAAGTTGGGGGTTAGAGACAATTGTTCGATATCCTTTTTTTCTTATTTTTCGAGGCGGGATGCAAAGAAATAGGACTATTTCCAATAACCTTTTCTCTTTGCATTTTGTTCTCGGCTCATTTTTCTCTTTCTTCACACTGTCCTTGAACACATGTATACAGATGATGCGGAAATGATGAAGGGGGGTTTTTTTTCTTTTCGGTATGATTAATGAAGGAGGGGCATTAGTTGGATTGGGAATTGATGGGGAATATGGGCACGATTACGAATAACGACTCTATGACGACTATAAATGTAGATATCGAATGATGAGATTTGTTTTTTGAAATTTTGTTTTGTTCCAATCACTCACTTGAAATATGCTCTCTCTAAGGTCAAAAAGAATATATGAAAGAACGAAGAAAAGTAAGAGAAAAAGAGCTCGTATGTAATGCATGCTACCTTATTCCCATGGTGGAGAAAAAAACAGGATATCATGTAAATGCCGGAAGAATGTCGACATGTCTTAGTGGAATTGCAGCCCGACACTCGAGATCATTTACAGCTAAAAGCTTGAAATGAACCACCAAACCACCATGCCACCTATACATGGGTTGAAGAGAAGATACCGGCAATGCCACTGAACTTTCAACCTTCCATGGACGATGACATTTCCACCCGACAAATGAACCCCCCCCCCAATACATTCAAGGCCCCATTGACTAAATCTGCACTTCTACTCTTCTTCTTCTTCCTCCTCCTCCCCATCCATCTCCGGCTCATCCACTGCCCAAAGAATAAACGGCCCATTATAATCCGACTGCACAGCACACGTCAGTTTGAATTCACACTTCATCCTCCCCCCAAAAAAAGAAAAAGAAGGAGAGAGAGAAAAAAAAAAGAGGAGAAAGGAAACTTACCTGCGTACCCACCGGATCAGACGCAAACCACCACCTCCCCAAAATCATCCTTGCACCAGGCATTACGACACCCTCATACGCCCAGAGATTATCCTGATCAGGATCCTCGTAGTCATCGCTGAAGTGCTTCATAAAGGTTATACGCTGCCAGCCTGGTATGCCGCCTTGAGGGGGGAGAGCGTTGAGCCAGCCGAGAGCGCGGTACTCGTCATCGAGGTCTTGGCCTGTGCCTTCGAATTGGATGTTTTGGGATTGTTTGGGGCAGTGACGAGCTTGTGTTTTGAGGGGTTGTACGCTAATAGAGGGGAGCAGGGAGTGTAGGCGGGATTCGAAGAGGGCAGGCCAGGGTAGGGAGCGGCCGTTGAGGAGGTGCGTGGTTTGTGCGAAGTTGAGTTCGAGGGACTGTTGGGGGTGGGGAAAGATGTCAGTGTGGAATTCATGTTTATACTATGATGTTGCGGCTTACTTGAATCTTGCCTTCGTCGATGTTCTTGTCAATGTATATTTCGTGGCCTGGGCCTTGCTTGCGGAGGCGCTGGACTTCGGAGTGGTCGAGGAAGGCATAGGTGCCTTTCCAGTATCTGCTGAGTGGATAGGCGCCCTGGCGGAAAGGTTCTCTCCAGGGCGAGGGTTTCTGAGTTGCGTCAAGCTCGTCGATTTTGTAGAACAGGGTTTGGGCTTCTTCGTTCATCATGTGGTGGCGGAAGAAATTCATGCTGTGGAGAAACCATTCCATATTCAACTTTTTGTAGTTGTCTAGGAAGATGGTAGCTTCGGTGGTGGATTGATAAACGGCAAACTGTGACTCGTCGAATGCGAATATGTTGTGTTCTAGGCCAGGAAGATCGAAAATGAACTGTGAGCATATGAGCTTGACAGCCGCCAGTGTCTCATCAATGTGGGCAGGTTCGCCGCGGCGGACTGTGGGAGGCCGTCGGTCATTGTTTAGCAGGCGGGACCCGAGAATGAACTGAATGAGGTGAGCATGATTCTTGCAACGGAGACGCCCATGCTCATCAACTTCGGTGGCACCCTGGAAGGATTCTGTATTCTTCGTTAGATACGCTGACTTGTGCCGAGATATACGTACCAATGATCAAATCTTTCAACACCTTCACAACCCGGGCCTCAGTTTTACCATGCCCACGAAAGAAGCCGTACTTGGTGCCGCATCGCAGCAGCTTGGACCGGCGCTGATACATGCGCCGCAGCTGATTGTTAGGTGTGCCTTCCGAGAAATCATACTTCTCACGGAACTTTGCACGCCAGAAGGACTGACGGTCGGCGTCGACGGCATCATTTGTAGCGTGGCATATCAGCCGGTATGTCGCGATGTCCTTGTCGTCGTCAAGGTAGTGGACAATGGCTTTGTTGAGCTAGTGGGAACGTCAGCGTACGTATAGTTCACGAATCGATAATTAAATTACATACTTCGATGGGAAGAGAGTTAAATGCAGTGTTGGTAAACGGGCCCTGAGATGGCGACATGTCGGCTTCGGAAATGGGTACCAGAGGCAGCAGAAAGGTCAGGTGTTGATCAGTTCAAATGTCCTAAAGATTGAGCGAGCTCCTAACACTGGCGAAGAAGAAAAGATTTCTTATCGTTTAGCTTCGATATGAGAGATAGAGGTCACTCGAGCTAGCCGTTACCTGGGACGGGTTCTCACTTCACAGCAGAGGTGAAGGCGGAAGAGCCGCACTGACAGCAGGCGATTGTGCAAGTGAGATGTCCTAGCTGAATACCACTGACATGGCAAACTCACTATCTGACTTAACAAATCGACTGGCTTTACAAGTCTACTTGATCTATTGAAATTGTGTATACATTAAGAGAGAGAAACCGATAAACACGATCGGCATAGGTATGTATCGTTGGTCTTCCGTGAAGTGACGTCGAGCTGCGGTGAGCAAGAGCTACAAACAGACGCACTACTGAACGAACGCGTTTGTTAGCGACCGAAGGGTGAAATAAAAGTCAATCCCGTACCATATCTAGAGAAGCGAGACCTGAATGCAGCATTCGAAGCTATAGCTGATATTTGTGTATGAAGTGAGATGTGAAGAGCATGTTATATGTGATGATGATCACGACTGCACATGGCTTTCCAGGGAGGCACCCCCGATTTTGCTTAGTAACGTATCATTTCAAAAAGATGCAGCTGCATATTTATGCATCTTATATACGACTGCCGCTTTTGGTATGTCACACAGTACATGATTCGGGAAATCGTGGTAGCATTAGTCCGTAGTGCAATCTCACACTTCCGAATCGCACAAGCAGATTTCGAAGCATCAACATATGTAATTCAATATATACCTAAGGAAGAAACGTTATATACCAAGTCCCTCATAATCATGTCTCCGAACTGCAGGACTCACAAAAGGCTACTATAACCCTCATCAAACTACAATACTCGCAAACAAAGCCACAACAACCGAATACATACCACTCCATCTGCCCAGACCCCCATTCGCAGCATTCGGTACAGGACTCTGTCCTGAACTCGCCGACGTGGTCGCACTCGCGCCACCAGCCACATCACTCACATCCGCAACCCCACTCCCATCCTCCTTCGTAACAACGAAAATCTCTCCCGTAGAATCAGAACTCATGTACAACCTACCCTTAGTATCCCACGCAAGCCCTACAGGGCGGAAGCACGAGCGAGGACAGGCAGATAAGTCTGGGTTAGATACTATGTCGATGGCTGCGGTGGTGCTGTTGGATGGAGCGACGGGCGAGCCGGCGCCGTTGAAAGGGATGAGGGTGAGTTTGTAGCCTGTAGGGTCTTCGCGGTTCCTGTTGGGATGAATGTTAGCAGTAGAAGTGGGTTTATTGGGGAGAGTGAGAGAAGGGATTACGTACCATGATCCGTGCATAGTTACCCATGCTGCGGTGCCGTTGGGGTTGAATTTGATATCAAGGGGAGCCATGTGAGCTTGGAAAGCGAGGCGGGGGGCGATACGGTCGTCTTGGCAAAAAGTGTCGTTGACGGTTGCGTTTTGATTTCCAATGGCGAATTGTTGGCCGACTTCACCGTTGAAGTCGGGGATCTCAGAAGTGTTCCAGGCCGTGAAGCAAGAGGGATATCCGTAATTTACATCTTGGACGTTGCTTGCTGTTTCATTGAGGGAGCCGTGGAAATTCATTTCCTCGCCTGGATTGTTTTCCTTGATGAGCTGTCCGCTTCGCATGATATTGTCAACGCTGTTTTCCACAGAGTAGATACCGCCTGTTACGGGATGCTCAGCTATACCGACTGAGTTCCTGAGACCCCAGCCGAGAAGCCTACCGGTTGAGGCGTGGTCATAGGCCAAAGAGGTCACGTTATTCACATTGTAGGCTTTGATAGTAGATACTCCAGTGGTCACGTCCAAGGTCTGGAGATCGATGTTGCCCACACTACCGCGGGAGACGAGCAGCATACCAGGGACCTTCTGAGACATGAGTAGTGTACGCGTAGTGTGTCCCTCCTTATCTCCCATTCCTTGAACAACATCTCTTGAATCAGACGTGGTCTTGCCTTGAGAAGCATCGTAGTCCCAGGCGAGGACATTGCTATGGGAAGACGCGTACAGAGTACTGCCATCTTCGGAGAATGCAATGCCATGATTCAACTGACGTTGTTAGTCAAACCCCGATGGTCATAGCAACGAACGACGGCCAAACTTACAGAGTCATTCTCAACAACGTTTTGGACTGGACCCTCAACACGAACGCAAGCTCCATCACCTGTCAGGGACAGTCTACTAACTCCATAGCCCTGCTCAACCACCAGCAGTCCACCTTGACGATCAAACAAAATGCTGCGAGGATCTCTCAGACCATTTGCTACAACCTCGACGCGAAATCCCGGGGCGACCGAAGGAGCCGCGTTCTGTGGGGCAATTGGCTTTTCGCAAGCTGTACCTTGCGCTTGGACCGCTCCTAGAATGGAGAATGCGCTCAGGCCGACTGTTACCAATTGCTTCGGCGCCATTATGGGACGAGTCGGATGACGTGAGAATTGCTCGTAGATGGATTAAGCTCAACGATAGGCTCGAACAAGAGAAGCCCTGGGCGTCAGCAAGGATTCGGCGGCTAAGCCAGAAAATGCAAGATGGAGATTGGGTTTCTGAATAAGGATCTTTGGCGTATGTTACCAAGTACTCGAAGCAGCTCACCGGTGGCCGTGTTTTAGTCAATGGCTCCTTTTTTGTTGGTGAGTTGGGGTCATGGTAATGCCTGAGGTGTCGCGTATTTCCCGTCCGCCTCTTGGTCTAGTAGCCGCTTCCAAGACGCGATCCACGTCATTGACTTTTCCAAATCAAAGGATGCCGCGCCTTCATCCATCCGATGCTAGGCTACGGCCGCATCCTCAAACAACCACACCACACTTGCGCAATCGGCAATACTATATGGGAGCCATTGGCCCCAATGTTACCCCACTCTGTGGTGCGAACCGCGTATCGTAACGGCCGGGTAGCCTGTCGTTATAACTAGTAATTATTAACTGGCCCAGGCAAGCACTTGGAAGGAGAAGGTCGAGGATGCTTCGCAACTCTATGCAAAGCTACTGTAGGCGAACACGGATTGCACATTTGCACATGTGGATGAGGCGGATGGGTTAATGGTGGCGGAATATAGTCCCGAGGAGTGTTTTCTTGCAAGCAGGACCGTCTTACTTACATGTTGGAAAACCGGAATATGCAGCCCAGAGCAACTGTGCAGAAGATTAGTGCATGGCAGTGCCGGATTTGCCGCCAACGCCGGCCATGGGACCGAGATACGGCGTCGGGGCTGTCTGGTCGTTGACTGAATTGCCATTATAGTCCGACTTGGGTTATTGTCGAATTGAGAAAGAGTGAAACGCGCAAAGCCAATTAAGGCGTGTGCACGGAGGGAGCCTGTCTCGCTTGGTTGGTATGCTCATCGGGGCGTGCAGCAAGGCGGCTTCATCCTCACGGTCTTCTCTCCCGCTCGGGCGGGTCCGAGAGCGAGCGGCATGCAAAGACGATCAATCACAGTGGTAGTGATTACCTTCAAAGTATGTATGTAACCGCGCCGCATTGCAGCCGGTACCTGCGTACCTCGCCTCTCGATCTGGCATGTGTGAAATGAGAATCGGAGCAGTAGTGCGTGACTCGGTTGTTGCATGTGCATCAGTCGGGCCCAGCAACGGCTCGGCAGCTATGGTTGACATTGTCTAGAAATGTTACTTGGACCGCGCATTTTCACATCGTGCGAGCTATACGGGCTAGTCGCCGTCCCGGATACAACCCCGTCTTGTAACAGAAAACAAGTACCGGGTCCACCACGGCTATTTGTGCATCTGGACCTTTACGCGGTTGCTAGGGACAACACTCATGGCCTCGGGCCGCGACATTTCTCTGACTCAGGTTAATTGCAGACATTACATCATAATTACAGGAGTACCGTTTGATAAGCTAGCGTTACAATGCTGGGTATGTATTCGCGTCTCAAGAGACTGGGTCGAGGCCGTCGTGTATCAATGCTATGATTTTTTTGACAAACGCCCAATGGGGTTCAAGATACAAGAGCATCAAGAACATGAGAAAAAGGAAACAAAGGAAAATAAAATTCCCTAACCCGCTTTTGTACACGATGCAGACTTGTGGGAAAACAGGGCCGTGAACTGCACGGCAGACTTTTTCCACCCCCAGAGACTAGTAGTATGATGTGCGCCATGATCCCAAAAGGACGCTGCAGGCCCTTGGTGCACCATGATTCTCCATTAAACAAAAATTGAGCATGCTCTGTGGTTGCTCTTGATAACAAATGCCTCGTCGTGCTCCGCCTGCATCCTGGCCGGGGATATGCTGTAATTATGCAAGTTAACATTGCAAGTACCGTGTCGCTTCAAAGTCCAGAGTCCTTGGTCTGTACTTGATAGTCGACCGTATCGAAAATTAGTATAAGGAAATGTTGATGAAGCCTGTACGGCTCCATCGTCGCTCGAACGCTCTCATCCAAATGCAAAATAGTCCAGAGGAAACTTTTGTTCCTTCGTAAAAACTTTTTTTTCTTGCCCTGCGAGGTGTGGCCAGCACCAAATGGATCCTGCTCCATAACAGGGTCATATTCACATGACCGTCATGAGTTTCATTTGAGCCACCAGATCCGCGTCTGGTTGAAAAATGTCGTCGCGTTGTGGCTGCTCTTGCATCGGGCTTGCGAGCGGACTTGAGTACAAGCCTTCCGCATCCCTAATCATGTCTTTTACTTTGTGCGTCAGTGAACTGACGTATGGCACAATTCTTCGTAGAGTCGCAGTGTCAAACGGAACCTTCTTCGAAGAAGGCGTGGGTGGTGTATCCAATATTGGTTCGTATACGCTCCTCCTCTTTTGGAGTGCCTCAATCACGGAACGCGCTTTGGCTTCCGAGTCTTTGCGGGGTCGCGTGGCAGCCGGTTTGGCCTCGCGAATTTCATGGTCAGTGTCAGATATGGATTGGGATAGTCTCGGGGAGGGTTGCGGGGCAAAAATGTCGTCGTTTGGTGGAAGAATAGACTTGCGGGAGCGCGGTGATGGTATCCGACTCTTCATGATATCCTGGTCTGGGTTTTCTGATTGTCCCCTTCCTCTACCAAGGCTAGGGCTCGCAGGAGGCTCCTCAAAACTGTCATCATCGAAGCCAGGTGTTGAGGGGGGTGAGGCGGGAGCGACATCCTGGTGGCCAGCCTCCTGATCGGCAAGGTCTATCATGGCGTCCACCTCTTCCCATGTACTAGCATGCGGACCGTCCACTATACCAAGAGCCTGAGCGCGTGTGCGGTGCTCTTTGAGCTCTTCGATTAGTAGGCCCCACTCACGAAGCAGACCAATGTTGGCCAGGACGTTGTTCTGCTGCTCTTGTATGCTCTTTGGTACCACCATCGACGTGCCACTGTCTACCCGAGGGGAAGCATCACCTTCTTCAATAGGGTCGCCGTTGAGCTCAGTAAAGTCAAAGTCATCGTTCCAGTCTTCGGTGACACCTTTGCTGCCAACGCCCCAGGTGCCAAACTTGTTTGTCACGACGGTGTTACGCTTGCCAGTCAAATCGGGAACCACAGGCACACTCTGGCTGCGAGCGTGTAACCCGCTGGGTATGCGGCGGCCAACAGAACGGCTGCCTCTGCGGTCAGCATCTTTCTTGCCGTGCACTGTCCGAGGTCGTGGCGGCGTGCAGTTGCCCGAGTTCTTGTCTGCGAGTTGTTGCTCAGACCAGTCGAAGATGCTGCTGCGGGTGTCTCTGTCACCAAACTCTGTGGTGAGGTGATGAGGCGTAGTGGGTTTGGATGTTGGGCCTGATGCGACACGGCGCGCGCTCTGGGGGAACGGCGACAGTGTTGCTGTCGGTCGGTGATGGACTGTGGGAGCATCAACCCACGGGTCTTCAGCATCTGTCTCCTCTAGTGACCACCTACTGCTGTCGTCGTCGTCGTTCTCCGGTCTTGAATCCCACTCCAAGGTCCCAAGCGAAAGCGGCTTGGGCATACTCGGGGGCGATGCCGAGACAGTGTTGGGGAAGAGCGGAGCGCTTCGTGCCCGGGCGCAGCTGGGCGAGTCGTGCAGAGGGCAGTCGTGGCGCATCCGCACCGGTGTTGTGATGTTTTCTTCTTCCTCAGCGATACTCTGGTGGCCGGCGACACTACCAACGGCGTGATCCCCAAGAGCACCTGGTGGGAGCAGATCGCGCAGGGCCGTGACCTTGATCTTGGAGGGGGGTGACTCGTCGAAAATCGTCTCTATACGAGGGCCCCGGGCGCCGCCCGATGTACTTCTGGTTGCGCCAGTGCGCAGCGAATCAAAACACGTCTCGCTCTGGACGTCAGTGTTGTCGTCGTCGCCGAACCCCAAGGCGCGAAGTTCATTATCAGACGAGCCGACCAATGTCGAGGCTTGTTCTGAGGGGGCCATGGAGTGACGCGAGACCCGAACGCCCGATTGCGCTAGAGTAGGGGATGGTGGCGCCTGATTGGCGCCCAGTGCGGCTGAGGGACCCTCGAGCTGCTGAGGCATTGACGCCAAGCCCAGGACAGGAACCATGCCAGCACTGGCACGACGAGCCGCGAGCGTGGGCAAGGGCGTTGATGATGCGCCGCCCTCGAACCCGCTGCCCGCTGACCCCGCCTCGGTGGTTCCGGCAGACGTCGCGATGGCGCGCCTAGCAGCAGCCAATGCCGGCTCAACGACATGGCGGTGCGACTCTCCATACGATGTGCTATGGGGTCGGGTCTGCATGGTGGGGACAAGAGGTGCCGAGTTGACCCGCTGGCTGGCCCGGCGCAGGATCGTGGTGCCTGATGCTCCGGCTGCGGCCAGCTGCTTCTTGGAGAAGGAAAGAAAGTCAGTGAAGGAGGAGCGCTTGGTCCGTAATGCATCCTCGGGGTCGTCTATCGACGGTCGGCTGCCGGTATGCGTGCTTTCTTTGGTAGCAAACGCGGCTATGCTAAACGGCGTCCCTGGCCGGCTCACCGAGAAGACGCTGTCGCCCTCGTCGCTGGTAGAATCGTCGAGTTCGGGCGTGGCTGCTGCCACCGACCTCGCAAGCACGAGCGTAGGCAAGTGCTTTTCGTCTGGAACAACTCTCTTGTAACTGCCTCTTAACGACGTCGACCCTCTCTTCTTGGACACTGTCCGCTCTTTGGTCACCTTTGCGGTGAAATACTGCGCATACTCAAACTGGCTGTCCATATCCGCCGAATGCAGAAAGTCCCTATTAGTCGCCAAGTCTTCGGCTGGATTACTATGTGGTTGCGCTTCGTTGTTGTTGTTGAGACTGTGGCTGGCATATAGCGCTGCGGTGCGCTGGTGACTTGTCGCCGGGCGGCGAAAGGAAGGGCGTAGAGTGGCAGTGCCTTGGGCTGGTAGTTGGTCGGCTCTGCGTATTGATGACGAGCGCTTGACCAGCCTATTTCGCAACGATGGCGAGGTCGAGCGGCGGCCGAAAATGGAGGCTGCTGAGCCGTCGTGGGAGAAGGCCATGGCACCATGGGGACACGAGACTGCGGGCGAGAGAGGCGCTGGACTGGGGGTTCTGCTGGAGGAAATGGAAATGGAAGAGAGGCGCTTAAGCCAAGAGCCCCGTCGCGTTGGGGGGTATCGTGGGGTGTCGGCCTCGGAAATAGACAGGTCGCTGGGCGCATAGTTGCTCACACCGCCGGACAATGGCAGCGCGGGCACGTCGTCGCTCGTCATCCGCCTCACCATGCGTCGCTGAGGGAGCGCATTTTGGCTGGGTCGAGTCGCAAGCGGGACATGTGAAGAAGGCGCGACAGGTACAGGGCCGCCAAAAGACGGCGCAGTGGTGGGCATGGCAACAGGCATGAAATTGGCGGGCAAAGGGCGTGCTGGCGCGGCCTCTTTGGTGTTGGTGTTGGGGTTGGGGTGGGCGGATGGGGAGGAGTTGCTCGGCGTCTCCCGTCCAAACGAGAGACCAACGGCGGATGCACCAACGACAGTGGCAGTGGCACAGAGCTGTATCATACGAATGCATCAGTCATGGTGGCCAGTACAAATTGCAGCAAGACAGGGCAAGGACGAGGAGAGTGCAGCTGCGCGGTCCCGAGGCGCGACAGCAGACGAGTGGTGATATATCAAAACAAAACAAGTGCATGCAGCAGCGTGTAGCGTCTCGTATACAGCGACCATGGGACAGACAGGTGCAGGCAGGGTGGTATTTACCGATGGAACCGTTTTCATTCTCGCAGAGAACCAGGCCGCCGGGGAAAGCTCACTCGTCGAGGCGCCTGTGACGACCTGTCGAGCATTATGGCATGTCAAGGTGCCTGGTTGATGACGGATGGCGAGCCAGCAGCACGAGTCGGGAGTCGGCAAGCAGACGGTTTTGGGGGGGTGAGGGAGCCACTACGGCGCGAAGAGGCAAAGGAAGGACGGCACAAGCACCACGGCGGGCTGGAGCAGAGAGGTGGAGCTCGAAGAGGAGCGGACGGAAGACTGAAGAAATCCAGTGCTTGTTGCTTCTGCTGCTAGGATCTACGTACAGGGCTACCCAGTTTCCATTGGGATTAGCGAGAAGCCGCCGACGAGGGCTGATAGCGGCATGTCGAAACATAGCACGGAGGCCACACAGACCCCATGCCTCACTCTGCACCGTCATAGCTCCCAGCCTGGCCCAGCGAGCATCGACGGCTACGTGCGACGGCCGCCCCCAGAGCCCCAGAGCCGCCGTGCTGCCGTGCTGCCGTGCTGTGAGGGTGCTCTTGGGCGGACAAGGGGGATGGGGGGGAGGGGGGCATGCAGAGCAGATTGCCATGGAGTCATGAGGAGACGGACGTGGTGGCCAGTACCACCACGTTGCGTGCAGAGGCGGTAAACGAGGGCTAGCGCAGCGTAGCATGCAGCAGCAATCAGGGACATGAGCAGCCAGGCTCAAGGTACCCCTCGCCGCATCCAGCTACCCAAATATAGTGTACCAGCGAGTATCCCAGACGCCCGTCACCACCGCTGCTGATTGGCAGCCGCCCGCTGAACGGCCTGGAGAAACCCCTGCAGGCCTAGTGGAGCTGTTTGCTGATCGCGGCCTCTCCAACTCTTAGAACCGGCTTGTGTACGATTGCGATGCTCTAGCTGGCCGTGGTAGCGAGACGATAGGGCCTAGCACTAGTCCACCCAGCCACGGAAGCCTCTGCATCTGCCTCTGCCTCTACCTCTACCTCTACCTCTACCTCCATCTCTACCACGCCATCTTGGAACAACGCGGAGCGGCACCACGCCCCTCGTTGATGCCAGCCCCGACCCACGCCGACATGGACGCCGATGTGTCAGTCTGGGGGGGGTGACAGCATGGCATGGCATGGCATGGCAGGCGGAGAGAATTGCAGACAGCCGCCTATTAATTGACGCACCAATTGCGCTTCTGTGCAGGCTGCTCGCATCATTCTCGATTATCCTTGATGATACCCGAAACACAGAGCACGTCAGCCCCAGAGTGGAGAAGTCGACCGACGAGGGCGGGAACATGGGTGGTGAGCTTGCTGAGGACGGCATGTCGAGGCCGCCACCACGTCTTGTCCCAAGGTGCTGGCCACATCGGGCAACCATCTCTGCCTCCGCGGTTTCTGTACACTCATCTTCAAGCCCAATCACTCGTCCACGTCCCAAGTGCGTGCCGTGGCCAAGGCGGCATGTCGACCGACCCTGATCTGCTACCCACCTGGCAACCATGGTTGGGACATGGCGTAGTAGCAGTAGGTAGGCATGAGCCGCTTGCTCGAGGGACGCTCAGGGAACGCTGTGCCTCTCGTTCTTGGGTCAATGGCTGTCGTCGACACTGGAAAATGTCCGTTTGGTTGCTGTGGCTGGCTGTATGGATAGAGCGGAGCGGCTCGATGCGGGTTGTGTGTTGCACCATACTGGCCAAGCTGAGTGTGACATGCGTCTTCTCGTTGCAAACACATCAGAAATGCAAGTGTCCGGAAGAATCCTGGGAGCGCATTACCGCTTGAAGCGTCTGCAGACATGTGGTGCAGATCTGCCTCTTGCGAGCTGCGAGTCCGCATCCGCGTATGCAAGAAACAGCCTTTGCTATCATGTCGTGCCTGATTGGCTGTAAGCCCAGCCGTCCACAGTCTGCGAATCCACTTTCGGCTGCCGACGTCAAAATGTTCTTTGCTTTGGACAACGTGCCGTAGCACCGCAATAAACACAGAACGCCCACTGCCCCGCTATTACGCCGGCCATCTTGCAGTTCGAGTAATCGGTACCAAGTAGTGTGTTCCTGGGCCTGCCCCTCTCGCCACAAACGCCACCGACCCCCCCCCCCATCCCCATCGACTGCCAGCGACATTGACAAGGTGGGACAGTGCCCCATCCACCACATCTCCCATTCAATTTTTGCAACAATGGAGTCGGAAATCAGAACACAGATTCCCAACATCGATCCGGTCCTGTCCGAGTACTCGGCGGGCTACCTGACACATGCTGCCAACCAGTTCACGTCCGATTCGGACCCTAACGCTCCTTCACCGCTGGACGAAGCCGCGGCCACTGTGAGCGCACTGCTCTTATCCGCGTCCGGGGACGTCTCGACCCAGAACCAGGCAGCCATCCAAAATCTTGTTGACAAGTTCATTGCCCGCTTGAGCTCAGCCAATGGCGCCGACGGGGAGCGTCGTCAGATGGCGCCTTCTGCCAAGAAGCTCGATCAGGCTATTCACGTGGGGTCCTCGAGGAACATGTCGTCGACCATGGGTCTAGCAGGCGGTGCTGTAGATCTCGAGTCTGCCAACACCCGCAAAGTTGAGTCTAGGGTCGATCGTAAGAAGCTTGAGAAAGCCGAACGCAAACTGCGTGCCAAGCAGGACCGTAAAGAGTTCAAGAATGTCGAATACGAGGCCTCGAAGCTTCTCCACGAGCCCAACGAGACGCAGAGCTACGAGGAGTTCTACATGGCCGTCAACCCGCTGCAACTGGGCGATTCCGCCAATAAGAGCAAAGACATCAAGATTGATAGCTTTGATCTTTCCATGCCTGGCCTGCGTATTCTGACTGATAGTTCTCTAACGCTCGCGTACGGCCGAAGATATGGTCTTGTTGGCCAGAACGGCATTGGTAAATCGACTTTGTTGAGGGCACTTTCTCGTCGCGAGGTGGCCATTCCAACGCATATTTCGATTCTCCACGTAGAACAAGAGGTTAGGATGAGCATGCCACTGCTTCTTTGTGACGGGCTGACTGAGCTTTTATCTAGATCACTGGCGACGACACACCAGCACTGCAGGCTGTATTGGATGCCGATGTGTGGCGAAAGCATCTCCTCAAGGAGCAAGATGTATGTTGCCAGAACCAAGGTTACTGACAAAGCAAACTAACCTTGCATAGAAAATCTCCAAGGAGCTTGCCGACATTGAAGCTGAGCGGGCTACCATGGCAGATACTTCAGCTGATGCTGCAAGACTAGACCAACAGCGCGAGGGTCTTGACACTACCCTAAGTGACATTCACGCTAAGCTTGCAGAGATGGAGTCTGATAAGGCTGAATCCAGAGCTGCCAGTATTCTTGCTGGTCTCGGTTTCTCACAAGAGCGCCAGCAGTTTGCCACAAAGACGTTTTCCGGAGGATGGCGAATGCGATTGGCATTGGCGCGTGCCCTCTTCTGCGAACCTGACTTGCTTCTTCTCGACGAACCGTCCAACATGTTGGACGTTCCCTCCATCACATTCTTGGCAAACTATCTGCAGGGCTACCCAAGCACTGTCCTCGTCGTATCTCACGACCGAGCGTTCCTAAACGAAGTCGCCACAGACATTATCCACCAGCACTCTGAGCGTCTTGACTACTACAAGGGTGGCAACTTTGATTCCTTCTATGCGACCAAAGAAGAGCGGCGCAAGACGGCGGCGCGAGAGTATGAGAAGCAAATGGCTGAACGGGCGCATTTGCAGGCTTTCATTGACAAGTTCCGTTACAATGCGGCCAAGTCTTCGGAAGCTCAGTCGAGGATTAAGAAGTTGGAGAGGATGCCTGTCCTGACGGCTCCCGAGGCCGAGTACTCTGTCCACTTCAAGTTCCCTGAGGTGGAGAAGCTGTCGCCTCCGATCATCCAGATGAGCGGCGTGACATTTGGATACACGCCGGACAAGATTTTGTTGAAGAATGTAGATCTTGACGTGCAGCTTGACTCGCGTATCGGTATAGTCGGGCCCAATGGTGCGGGCAAAACGACTGCACTGAAGCTGCTGATTGGCGCACTGCAACCAACCACGGGCATCATCTCACAGAACCCGCGACTACGCGTGGGTTTCTTCGCACAGCATCACGTCGACGCATTAGACCTGAATGATAGCGCCGTGGGATTCATGTCCAAGAAGTACCACGGAAAGGCAGATGAAGAGTACCGCCGCCATCTTGGCGCTTTTGGCATTACGGGCATGACGGGTCTGCAGAAAATGGCACTGCTATCTGGAGGGCAAAAGTCGCGTGTCGCGTTTGCATGCATAGCTCTCCAGAACCCACACATTCTTGTGCTGGACGAGCCGTCGAATCATTTGGACATTGAAGCCATGGACGCGCTGTCGGACGCATTGAAAAACTTCCAGGGCGGTGTGCTCATGGTCAGTCACGACGTGACGATGCTGCAGAACGTATGCACAAGTTTGTGGGTGTGCGACAATGGAACGATTGAGCACTTTGACGGCACAGTGAAGGACTACAAGCGACGTATCACTGCACAGGCAAATGAGGCGGGTGTCGTGGCCAAGCATTAGACTGCATGTAAGTACAGTAGCTGAGATGTGCAATATGGTAGACGGATGCAACGACACGCAACCCTGGATTTGATTTGCAGTCTGCGTGAAGAGTATATACTGTATATAGACAGGCGGCTCTGCGGCCTGGACAAACATGTGACGACGCGCTTGTTGGTGTTGTGATGGCGTACGGACAGGCTTCTGGCCTCTGGTTGGAGTAAGGCTGGTGGGTCGTGCTAAGCCCAAACAGGACACACCTGAGCTCACTACCCAGGGCTCCGCGTCCAACATCGACGGCTGTCCATCACCCGCTCCACCTCTGCCACCAGCACGACCGAGCAAGTCCACTCTCGCCTCCTTCACCCTTTCGCTGCCCCCTCCCGCCTGCCCATCGCCTGTAGATCTATGCGCGCTGCTGTCCCGTAGTCGCTCCTCCGTGCGCTCACGTTTAATTGACAGCGCCTATTAGCGCGCTTGCCCCTTCGCAACTTCATCACCTGTGCCGTCCAATACTCTCACAGCTACCGGCACCTTGTCTCGCACGCAGGCTCCCGACTCAGACGGCTTGTCCGTAGTCACTCATTTGTCTCCGACTCGCAGCAATCGCTCTCCGTCTGCCTCGCCGTATCTCGTCACTGCTCCAGCACAGAGCGCCTCGGAATCACCCACAGCCGGCGAATCACCATATCCCCCTCCCTTCTCCTCTCTCTACTTCCCGTCTGAGGACGCCGAGGAACGCAACAAGTCTCGAGAATCCCCAGAGGACGACTCACCGCCTGCATTCACCTCTGCGCCGCCATTTACCCAGTCGTCGTCTTCGGCTGCCGCTGTAGCTGCTACCAAAGCTGCGCTTCCAAACGACCCCAAGGACGGCTCTAGCAGCAAGGACATTGACGACGGAGAACCACCGCCACCCTACAGTGAAGGTTTCAGCCCGCTCGAGTCGTTTACCTACGTCATGGCATCTGCAGGAGGTCCCGCGAGTATCATTACTCAGGTCTCGCAGACCAGCGCCGGCCCGCCCATCAACACTCTCGGTGGATCTGATGAGAACATTACGTTGGAGTTGAGGTGCGCGCTTGCCTTACCACATGAATTAACCATCAACTGACCGAATACGTAGGGGCACGCGATTCACTCTGTCGCGTGATGAGCTTCTAACCCTCCCCGAGTTTGTTCTCCTCTCGCTCTTTCCCAATGGCCTGCTTCCTGATGGCCACATGAACTCCTATCATGAGGGAGACGTATATCCAGTCGACGTTGGTACCCCTGTTTCTTCTTCCTCGTCCCCTCCCTCTCCCCCAGTTTCACCGGCCACAATAGCCAGGATCCTAGACCATCTTTCCAATCCCGCATTATACTTATCTGACAATCTCTATTCTTCACAGTATGATCCCAATTCTTTGCAGTACATGCTGGAGTTCTTCCGCAATGTAGCTCAGACCATCCCCGCACCGCCTTCCCCGACGACCACGCCAGAGCACCCTGCCGAAGCTGTGCCTATTGAGCCCATGCACGGCTCCGCAAGAGACATGCTCCAGGACCGCGCCGGCATCATTGTTCTCCGCGAAGACCTTGACTTTTATGCCATCCCACCACACCGAGACATCACCCAGCCGGAGATGATCGAGGTCAAGCGCGCTGCAGGTGAAGCTTTGTTACGGCAAGACGGCATCTTCTCTGGACTCAGGAAGAGCGAGGAACCAGGTACAACCGAGCAGCACCTGATTGAGATGTTGACTGCAGGGTAAGCGCGCTGTTATGTTTGTCTAGATTCATCTGCTAATAAAGCATAGCGGCTTTAACCACGATGATCGATGGGGCCACCGTGCCGGCGAACCCAACAAGGCCGTCATCTGCAGTATTGCTCTTGCACGCTTGAGGACCGACATCAAAGGCAACGATCTTGCTAACAGCAACGCTGTCGGAATGGCGCAGAAGCTGCTTCTCTTCTGGAGGAAACCGGCTCGTCGCTGCTGGTGGGAAGGAGTGGAGCTCGAGAACGTTAGGGGCGTCGAGGGCAAGCTCAAGGTGTGGATAAGGCGGGTTTGGACGCTGGAAATGGTACGTTTACCTTGATTTTGAACTTCTTTTGCTGTTCTCTTTGCTAACATGATCTCAGAGCGTCATTGGACTTCGTTAAAAACCGCGCTCTCTCTTTCCCCTTCCCCGTTCTTTCTGGCAACTTTAATCATTGGTAGTGGTTCTCTTGTGTTCGTTTTCCCCCTTTGATGTGTCTTTACTCTTCGGGCCATCAAAAACTCATTTTGTAACTGTCAACGAAGAAAAAGCATCGGCTAGGTTCTTGCACCCACCCACCCCCCACACATCGTTGTTTTTACCTTATCGTGTATCTGTGTGTTTTTTTTTTGATACCTCTCTCTCTATTACATTGGAAACCGTTTGGGGGCTCCCGTACTTACTACATACTCATACTTACTTTACTACTTTGTCTTCCATCTTGTCTGGTCTGTGTGTGTGTGTGTGTGTGTGTACGTGCAAGGAGAAAGCTTTGTGACAATTTCCCCTCCTTTGTTTTTTGTTCTTTTCCAACTACAACTTTTCCCAAAGCGGAACGTTAGCATTGTTGGGGTTGAGATTGTGATGGAGAGCGGGGTGGGCGATGGTAGAGGGGGGGGAAGGTTTGATACAGTCATATCCCTTTTTTTTCTTCTTTTCTCCATGTGCAGAACATGTAGATATACAGATATACACATATGTATATGAGTTAGTTCGTATACATGTATATTACCTTGTCCTTTTTTTTTCCCGTTTTTTTTCTTGCGCTGCCTAGAAAGGGAAAGACATATGTGGGTTGTTTTGAATTGAGATTGGGAGATGGATAAGGGAACGTTCAGGACTAGCTGGGGGGTTAGGAGAATCGAAAATTGTAATCAACGGTTTTTTTGGGGGGGCGGGGACAGGGACAGGGACGGGGGGGGGAGAGGGAAAACATGGATGAATTGTGAATGTGTACGTGTGACACGTAGGAGGGGACGATGTATTGTCGTGTTTCTGTTTTCTGTTTTTTTTGCTTTTTTTGCTTCTTCTTGTTTAAACAAACGTGTATGGCGGCGTTTTAGCGGGCGTGATGTGTGTATGTGGGGTTATGCGTATGGGACGGATGCATGACATGGCATGATGAGGCTGAGAGTATGCATGTGATGGCGAGAGAAAAGAAAAGGTGGTGGGCTTTACTGGCCTTGTTTTTCTTTTTTTTGGGTCCTTGTTCGGTGTGTTGGTTTTCGCGTACCTTGCATTGCATGGTCGGGCTTGCTTGTGTGAGACAGGGGGTATGGGGGTAAAAGGAGGGCGGGGGACATGCATGGCAGGTGTAAGATGGTGTAACACGTGATGTAAACGTGACACGAGTTTCAAGTGTTGTATTTTTTTGCTTTTCCTTGCGGAGAGAAGGGAGGAGGAGGGGAGAAGATGGTAATTCAGGATTAGAATAGGATGCGTGTGATAAAATATCCTCCACAGCGTGCTGAGGGCGTGTAGTAGATGTTATAGGGCGGCAAGTTGGTGAGAATTATAGCTGGATGCCATTTTGCATTTGGTCAAGATGGACTAACAGCCCTATTTTTGAGATGCTTGAGTCCCCTTGCAGAATACCATTGCACCTCTTCCTCCGAAACCGTGAATCAATATCACATTATTGCATGCCACTCTCACACAAAGCACCCCCACGCACACAAGTCGACAAAAAGGTGTCTGCACACTCCTACCTGCATCATTCACGCACAACAAATGTATTGACACTTTCTTCCCGCTGTTTCATTTATGCAGTACAACGTGCTACACACATGCATGCACGCCATGTTGTTTACTTTCCGCCCCACATATGTTGTGTATATACGTTGCATGTGGCAAGGTACGTATGCAAGTTACGAATATGAATATGCTCGTATCTAAGGAAACAGTTACTGGTACATGTGTCAAAGGGGCAAGGTATGCATGTGTGCCTATATCGAATTCGGTGTCTTCTCTGTATCGTTTTTTTTGCAGGTAATTTGGGAGTTCGAACTGCCGACACCCCATGGGGCGCTGGATTGGAGAATACGTAGTAAGGCAGGAACTGGATGGTAGTAGCTATATTTGCTAAGGTACGAATTTATACCGCCGAAGGCTATATGTAGTCCTGTCCTTGATAATGAACTCTGCTTCCTATGAAAGAGGGTAATAGCGAGTGGACCTCATTGATCCTGCATGTTCTGGAATGGTAGCGATAGATTTGCTATAAATTTTCCTTCTGAATCAGGCAATTCTGCAACGTCAGACCTTACGGCTTGTTATAGCAGGATCAAGACGAGCTCGACTATCAAGCTGTGTAACATGCACATCGTCATGAAACTGCTGGTAAGAGAGGATCAAGGGGTGTGAATAAAGGCTGTGAGCAAGGTGGTTGGAAATAGGGTCGTAACTAGTGTGTGTCAACACCGCAAGCCGCAGTATACTTCTTGTTCTATCAGAAGCTCAGCAACAGCGAGATGGTCACCATCGAACGCTGCATTGAGTAGAAACCATTGTCTATTGTCAAACCGGCTTTTCCTGTTTCCTGCTACGCAGAAGCTCCACCACCGCCTCATGACCTTCAGCTGAAGCCGCGCGGAGTGCGGTTTGATAGTATCCATCTCCTACGTCAACGTCGGCAACTTTGTCCAGTAGTAACTTTACCACTGCCTCGTGGCCTTTCTCTGAAGCCGCGTAGAGTAGAGATCTATAGGCACCCTCTATATTAATTTTAGCGCCTCTTTCTAGTAGTAGCCTTACTACTGCCTCGTGGCCTCTAGCTGAAGCTGCGTGGAGTGGAGATCTATAGGCACCCTCTATGTTAATTTTAGCGCCTCTTTCTAGTAGTAGCTTCACTACTGCCTCATGGCCTATAGCTGAAGCTGCGTGGAGTGCGGTAGCGTAGAATTCATTCCCTGCATTGATGATACTGTTTCGTAGCAGCTCAAAGTCTTCTATGTGGCCTCCCTTTGACATCATGGATAGGACAATGTTCAAGTCTTCATCCCGTATATCCACATCGGCAGTTTCTTCCAGCAAATTTCTGAACATCTCCCCAAATATCTCACTGAGAACGTCCTGCAAAACCTTCAACGCCTCCTTTGTGAGTTTGAATTCATGTTCGCATGTCTGAAAAAGACAGATTATGATGTCTCTTCCACTTGTCTTGTTTCTTGCAGCGGCTTTGATAATTCTATCTGTGACTGTGATCTCACTTCCGCGTTTCTGAATAAGAAAGTTCATGATATCTTGCCCATTTTCCTGATTTTCGGCAGCAGCTTTGATCATAGCCTCTGATAGTGATACCTCGAGACCTCGCCGCATCAGAAAATGTTGGACTGCCTTCGCATCAGACATTCGGACAAGCTCTAAGAAGGATAGAGAATTCCGAAACGTAAGATCCTCTAAAAACATTGGCATTGTCTCATAAGAAACATCTGACCGTCCGAACAAGAACAACGAAGTGTCGCGAATGACTGTCTGGAGGTCTTTCGTATAGGTCGGGCGTAGGCTATCGGTGTCGCAAGCGTCTGAAGATATACCCAGTAAGGCGTATATTTTATCTCGTGGGTCGCTTGCATTGCTTTCTCTGAACTTGAGTAAAAGGTTGTACAAGTCTCTGCTTTCACACCACCAGGTCTCTTCCCGCAAGTGGCCAGGCATAATGTCCAAGACAGCTTGACAATGGCGTTCTGGCTTGATTCCTATGAGCGACGGAGCAAGGGCGAAGATATGTGCTTTGACAGACTTGATGCCGCACCAGACACTTGCTTTCTTCACATTGGCTATTTCCTGTAAGATCCAGACTCTTCGAAACCATGGTCGGCTCAAGAGCAGGTCTAAGCCTTGACGTGGCTCAAAATATGGATTCTGAGGAACCGATCGCCAGAACTTGGCCCACTGTGCCAGGTCCCAGTGTCTATGCGCATACATCAAACTGTATTCTTCGAGTTGTCGAAGAGAGTCCATAAGGACATTGGTTTCCGCCGTGGGTTGACCTAGCCAGACAACCACCTCCTCCGCGTGCGAATAAATCTTGCACATTTGTTGAACTTGATGTCCTCGTTCTATTTCGTTGTCTTGATCGATACAAATAGCATCGACCCAGAATACCCTATCTACATCTTCTGAACGAAGATGTCGAAGGGCTGAGTACAGATTTTCAGTAACATCAAGTGTCTTCCCGTTGACTGTCACAGTCGATGTCTTATTTGTACCGCCCCAGGTATACGATAAAGCATTGTACGGAATAGTATCTGTACCATCGAGATAGGCTTGGTATAGCATACACTCAATGGTCGACCCTCTCCCTCGTAGTAACTGTAGAAGCCGGAATGCGGGACGCTCAAGATCGATCGGTTCGTAAACATAGATGTCCATCTGTACCCGCCACTAGAATAACTTGTCATTAGCTAGAGGGTCTAAGGCTAAGAGGCTGCAAGCTGGGCTACCTGTTTCTGATAGGATAGAGCTACAGAGTTCAACTAGGGCAGTAGAAAGAAGAGATACGCGAAGCTCATAAATAACAAGAGTAGGTGTTACTTGTGTTTCGATCAATGTTAGTTGGGAAGCACTTTGTATGCTGAATGGAACAAAGCAGAAGCATAGCGGAATAGCAAAGGTGAAGGTTTCAGCTGCTGTATGGGGCAGTGCAAGGCTGAATCTCTGCCACACTCCGCCCACCAAAGCCTCGACTTGAATCTTGGCATTCTGTATTGTGTCATGCTCGCCGTGTGAGGCCTGCCCATCTCGTCCTCTAGACGCCACATGAGTTATCATATTCTTCTTCAATGTCACGATACTTTGAACTGGAGGCCTAGCAAGGTCAACCCTCGGGCTAACGAAGCTACAGTCACGTGCGTCAAGTGCATAGTCATATCCGAACCTTGGGTAACTCCCCAAGGATTCGTGTCAGTTGACTCTGACTGATATGTTTTGGGCCTACCTGCGAAGCATCTCACATTAAATGAGCTAAAGTAGCATTTAACGGCTGCTTAGCGTATGTATCAGTTGCAACGTGATCGAGAAATACAAGGACGTGATGGGTCGAATAAGGAATCAAAGGCGGGACTGCGGGGCTAGTTAAATGGCGGCGCGACGGTCTGTCTCTTGGACATATGTTTTTGTATTAGCCGCAGTTGCCTATTACAATACTATTCGGAGTTCCACGATAGCTGCGCTAGAGGCTTATTGCACACGTCAGTTTGTCACAAACGGCCTGGTGCGTATTATTGAGGCGTGCTTCGAATCTGCGCACGTACCTACAACATCTGAGCCAGCACACATCACATTACAAGTACATTTGAATGAACAAAGTATAAGCCAGAGGCGGGTATGGAGGCCCGTCGTTACTCTGAATTATGTAGTCTCCGTTTGAACGGGTAGACTTGTTAACTAATCTTATGCTGCGTGCAGAAACGCAGTTCATCATCTCCGTATCACACTCTTACACTGGGTATCATCCTCATCCTGACCATGGTTGAAGGGTCAAGTAGATGATATGCAAAACAACGCCTTTTGAACAACCGGACCCCGTCGAGCCCCAGGCTCGATGCTATGCCGTTGAAGACAAATAACTTTTTTTCGAAGTGGTATCATAACGTCGTGTTGAAACTTCCCAAACGCGGAACAAAAAGAAATCTAGTAGCGGTATATGTCGCTCTTGAAAGGACCCTCGACAGGGAGACCGAGGTACTCAGCCTGGACGTCAGTGAGCTTGGAGAGCTCGACGTTGACGTGGGCCAAGTGAAGAAGAGCAACCTGCTCGTCGAGGATCTTGGGCAGAACGTAGACACCGACGTCGAGCTTGCCGGTCTTGCCGAACTCGACATACTTGTTGCCAAAAGCCTCGTCAGATGCCTTGTAAAGCATGATCTGAGCGAGGACCTGGTTGGTGAAAGAGCAGGACATGACGAAAGAAGAGTGGCCAGTGGCGCATCCCAAGTTGACGAGACGACCTTCGGCGAGGAGGATGATGTGGCGTCCGTTCTTCATCAGGTAGCGGTCAACCTGGGGCTTGATGCTGGTGACTGACTTGGCGTTGGCCTTGAGCCAGGCAACATCGATTTCGATATCGAAGTGACCAATGTTGCAGACAATGGCGTCGTTGGGCATAACCTCGAAGTGAGCGCCAGTCAGAATGTCACGGCAACCAGTGGTGGTGACGAAAATTTGACCCTGAGGAGCAGCCTTCTCCATTGTGGTGACCTGGAAGCCGGAGACGGCAGCCTGGAGGGCGTTGATGGGATCAATCTCAGTGACGATGACACGGGCACCCATGCTGTGGAGTGCCTGGGCGCAACCCTTGCCGACATCACCGAAACCGGCAACAACGGCGACCTTGCCAGCAATCATGACATCGGTGGCACGCTTGATACCATCGACAAGCGACTCACGGCAACCGTACAAGTTGTCGAACTTGGACTTTGTGACGGAGTCGTTGACGTTGATGGCGGGAACGAGGAGACCGTTGCCCTTGAGCATACGGTAGAGGTGGTGGACACCGGTGGTGGTCTCCTCGGATACACCGTAGCAGTCCTTGAGCATCTCAGGGTACTTCTTGTGGACAAGGGCGGTAAGGTCACCACCGTCGTCGAGGATCAAGTTCAGGCTCTTGCCATCCTTGAAAGCGGTGAGTTGTTGCTCAAGGCACCACTCGTACTCCTCCTCAGTCTCGCCCTTCCAGGCGAAGACGGGCACACCGGCGGCGGCGATGGCGGCAGCGGCGTGGTCCTGGGTGGAGAAAATGTTGCACGAAGTCCAGGTGAGCTCAGCACCGAGGAACTTGAGAGTCTCGATGAGAACGGCAGTCTGGATGGCTGTAATGCGTGTTAGCAAGAAAATTTCCTTTGATCGTGGCAAATCTGCAGAGGCAACCTACTCATGTGCAGACATCCAGCAATGCGGGCACCCTTCAAGGGCTGGTCCTCAGCATACTTGCGGCGGGTCTCCATCAGACCAGGCATCTCGTTCTCAGCGAGTTCAATCTCACGGCGACCGAAGGCCGCGAGACTGATGTCAGCAACCTTGAACTTGTGGGCTGGGGCAGACATGATGAAGGTTGTGTGTGGTGAATTGGGGGGAGAATTGAGAAGGAAAGGGTAGAGAGAAGAGGGAGGGAGGTAGAGAAGGGATGGGAGAGGATGAAGAGAATAAGAGAGCGGCGTCGAGGAGGAGAAAAGTGGGAGAAGATAGCCCCGCGCTCTAACACCTGTTGACGCTAGTGGACCCTTGGACTGCGCCGTATCGGCACATGGAGTTGGACGGGCCTGAGACACGTCGACCCCTCCACAGTCGATAGGCGCAAATCTGCTAGCATGCACGTCTGACCATACAGGTGCTGCGCATGAATCATGTCAATTCAGTATCTAAACGCCCTATCCATGAACAAAATGTCTTCATAAACTCCGAGCAGAGCGCGCGGGCAAGCTGCACTCTGTTCGCTGCGGGGCATGAAACCGCACCCACTTGGTCCAACACCGCCGACGCGCTATGCTCTAGACTAATGCAGTAAGCATCCTCACTAGGACCGAATCTCACCGACACTACTGTACCAAATTCGGTAGGAGATCAATCAGTACTCTCCATTTTGTCGCTACAGGTACAACCAGCCACTCGTTCCACTCACGTGTAGTGAGGCACTTGTCCCTTGTCGCCCTCTGAGCCTGCCGCCAGCGGCGAGACGCTATTGTCAATCTTTTTGCCAAGCATCTTGAAGTGCGGCTTCAGCGGCTCCCAGCTCTCTGCGTTGTAACCTTCCTGAATCTTTCGGCACTTCTTTAGGCCCCAGTCTGTTACACCAATCATCAGGCAGCTTTCGAACATAAACGCCATGCTACCCTCGCCGACTTTATTCGGCTGCAGCTCAACATTCGATGCTTTCTCGTGAGTAGCAGCGTCAGGGCCGTGGCCCGACATGACATTATGTAGAGATGCGCCGGCTGGCTGAAAACCTCCTCCAGTCTTGGCGTCGTACTGGCCGCCAATAAGGCCCATAAACTCCGACATGGTGTTTCGGTGGTACCATGGCGGTCGGAATGTATTTTCAGCAACCAACCACCGAGGCGGGAAGATTACAAAGTCCGCAACTGCGGTTCCTGCATGGTCCGAGGGCGCGGTAAGAACAGTGAAGATGGATGGATCTGGGTGATCGTATGAAATGCTCCCTATTGTGTTGAAGCGACCGAGGTCGTACTTGTATGGATAGTAAAGGCCATGCCACGCCACGACATCGAATGGCGTATGCTTTTGTTTTGCAGCATAAAGGTGGCCAGCAAACTTTGCGAGGATTTGCCACTCTGTCTCTGTGTCTTCGTCGAAGTCGGCCACTGGCGCCTGGAAATCTCGCGCATTCGCAAGGCAATTGGAGCCTATAGGCCCAAGCTCAGGGAGAGTGAAGTGTCCCTGATACAGCTCTAGAATGTATCCTCGCACAGGGCCTTGAGGAAGCGTGACACGGTATCGAATACCACGCGGTATGACACAGATCTCGTTGGGGCGTACAACAAGACGGCCCAGCTCGGTCTGAATATCCAGCACACCGTGCTGGGCGACAATGAGAAAATCACCATCAGCCGAGTAGAATGCTTCATTGGCCTCCATGTCCTTTCCTGCAGCATAAATAAAGTATCCGACTCCCGACTTCATTGTGGGGTCACCGGCACCAGCCACCAGGTGCAGAGAGTGCACCCAGTCTACCGTCTCGTCGAGGTCGAAGGGATCCCATCGGAGCTGGTTTGGGATATAGTGTATCCGCTCCCATGGTTTGTTCTCGGGGTTTGTGTTGAATGTTGTCGATTCACGGGGCTCAAAATTACTGTGGCCGCAAGATGGCAAGATACGATAGAGCCATGATTGCTGGTTCTCGTGTCTAGGGGCTGTGAAGGCAGTTCCAGAGAGCTTCTCGGCGTAGAGGCCGTACGGGGGCTTTTGTGGTGAGTTTGCAGCGATAGGGAGCGCGCCCTCTACTGCTTCGGACCTGGGATGCCGTTAGCTTGTACTAAGCGGGGCAGCACTGAGAGTCCCTACTCATGGTACGAGTTGAAGCCGTTCTGGTATCGGTACTTTTCCTTGAAAGCGAACTGCGTAGACGGCATCGCGAGAGGGGGATTGATTGTTCAACTTTGCTTCTGTCGGAAAGTAAGAGACTACGTACGCGTCGACCCGGCGGCACGCTACCACAGCGGTCTTCTTGAATCTATGTACAACGGCCCCACGGAAGTAGCGAAGGAAGCATCGAGCAGCCCCTCGGCCATGGCTATGCTGCACGATGCGGCAATGAACGGCTTTTGATCCCGTTGCCTATGGCATCATAAGACCAAAGCGGAGCAGTGGTGGGCCATGGAGAGCCTTCACATCGGCTTACCCCACAGCCCACAGGCGGCGGGGCATCCAACATGGCGATCCGCAGGCAAATGACGGAATCTTTCCGAGCCCGCCTGCCCGCCCCCATCCCGATCCCGTCACAAGCCGACAGCGGACCAGAAGCACGGCACCCACGAATGCGAAGAAGAGGGTCTTCATGCGGTTGACATCCTGACTTTGCCAATGTGCAAGGTATCCTTGCAGGCCTGCGCATGGAAACTCCGACAGCTCAATTGCATAATATCCTCGCGAGGCTCTCGAGGCAGTACGATAAGTACTACACCTGCGCATTGGAGCTGACCTGTAGAGTAGTCAGCACCGCATGCTGGGTACTGCATTTAATCGTCCCCGCTATCCGAGCAAAACACCAACATCACACATCCAGCCATGGCTTCACTGCGGTCTTGGTTTGCCATACCTCGGGGCTCGCACTTTTCACTAGCCAACATTCCGTTTGGCATCATTTCGACTGCCTCGTCAACAAAACCACGAGTCGCAGTTGCCATTGGAGACCATGCCCTAGATCTTGAGGCCTTTGCAGCCGGCAATGGCTTCTCGGCCCTCTCTGTCATTCAGCCTCATCAGGCTGTCTTCTCAGAGCCCTCATTGAATGCATTCGCTGCACTCGGCCGCCCCGTCCATTCCGTCGTTCGCAAGTACATACAGGGCGTGTTTTCCAAGGACACCACCTACCCAGGTGTCCTTCAGAACAATACTGCCCTTCAAAAGCAGGCTCTGTTACCCCTCAAAGAGATTCGTGCCCACCTCCCCTTCAAGATTGGCGACTACACCGACTTCTTTGCGGGTCTGAACCATGCCTACAACTGCGGTGTTATATTCCGAGGCCCAGAAGAGGCTCTGCAACCAAACTATAAGCATCTGCCAGTCGGTTATCATGGCCGAGCATCCTCAGTCGTACCTTCAGGAACCCCAATTCGACGGCCCAACGGCCAGATATTGTTGAACCCTACGGCAGAGAAACGGGTACCTACATTCAGCCCATGTAGGAAGCTGGATATGGAGCTCGAGCTCGGAGCTTTTGTATGTGGCTCAAACGAGCAAGGAACGCCAATACCAATTGAAAAGGCCGAAGAAAACCTGTTCGGTGTGGTGCTCATGAACGACTGGTCAGCTAGAGATATCCAAGCATGGGAGTACGTGCCGTTGGGACCCTTCAATGCAAAGAACTTTGGCACAACCATCAGTACGTGGGTCGTGCTCGCTGATGCATTGGAGCCATTCAAGACAAAGGGGCTCGAGAACGACGCTGAAGTACTACCCTATCTGAGGGAGAAGAGTGACAAGACTGTCTATGATATCAATCTTCAAATCGACCTCAAGAGTATGTTTGTCACTTCCGGACACTTTGAGACCAAGCTTGACTAACACATCCCAGCGTCATCTGGCAGCAATGCTACGGTTTCCAGAGTCAACGGTCGAAACTTACTTTGGTCCTTTCCACAAATGTTGACACACCACAGCGTCAACGGGTGCCCCTTCCAGCCAGGTGATTTGCTGGGCTCTGGCACCATTAGTGGTACCACTCCAGCTGAATATGGAAGCTTCTTAGAGCAGAGCAACAACGGCAAAGATTCTATCGCAGTTCAAGAAGAGAAGAGAACATTCCTCGAGGATGGTGATGAGGTTACTATTCGAGGTGTATGCGGCAATGATGAAGAAGCTCTTGTTGGGTTTGGCGAATGCGTGGGCCGTATTGAACCTGCCTTGAAATTGGAGTTTGCGTAGAGACCTCTTTGGGGAACCTAGCTTATGTTCCGTCCCTGTCTCCAACTAGTAGAGCCATTGCGAGGCCTGCGTATAAGGAAACCTTCCGTATCTATCTTGTTCTAAAACATACGCAACAGAGCGTGTGTGTGTGTGTGTGTGTGAGTAAGCAGTGTACTGCACCTAAGCAGGGATGCTGTAAGTCGGGCATGGTACGTGGGTCAAGTCGTTGTATGTCGAGGCATATATCGGTTCCCTTCTTGGCAGTTGTCCCAAAAATCACGTCTCAAGCTGCTAAGCATTAGCTTCCAATACTTGTCGTCAAGGTGTGTGCAGGAAATCTTCCTGATCTAGTTAGTGTATGATGACCTCACCCTACATCGCGCCTCCCCGCACTTTCCGTGCGGCCCTATTCCGCCTTGACCAACATGATCGTCTGCCTAGCTTGACGATTGGTGTAACAACTCCATGTTCCCGGACTACTGGAGCGTAACTAAACTGAAAACCTTGTCCAGTCAGATAAAGGATTGTGTTGCCGAGGCTAGGGTGTGGTCCTGTCCAAGTCTGAGGCCTCGCTGGATGTCGGCGAGCTCTATCTTATAGGTATTGCTGCAAGCTATAATTCATGACCTTCGTGTCATAAACTTCGCGAGTTCCCTTCTTTTCCTCTTCTATTTCTCTCACACATTGAGTTTGGCTGCAACCATGACAATCCCTATCTACGTAGCCGGCGTTGCAGTGCTGGGATACTTCTTGTATAGATTATTCTATGGAACCGACAAACCACACATCAAAGGCCTGCCTGAAGTTCCTGGACTTCCCTTGCTTGGAAGCTTGTACGAACTTGGCACGAACCATCCAAAGGTAGCACAGCAATGGGCGAAGAAGTATGGCCCTGTCTTCCAGGTGAGAATGGGAAACAAGGTAAGCACGGATCCTTAGCATGAGCATCATTCATCTCAAGAATAGAGAATCTGACGAAGACCCCAGAGAATCGTATTTGCAAACTCGTTCGACTCCATTCGTCACCTCTGGATCGTAAACCAAGCAGCCATGATTTCACGGCCTATGCTCCATACCTTCCATAAAGTTGTCTCCTCCTCACAAGGTTTCACGATTGGAACCTCCCCGTGGGACGATTCCTGCAAAGCTCGCCGTAAGGCAGCTGCGACAGCCCTGAATCGACCTGCTGTACAGTCATACATGCCCCTCATCGACCTCGAATCGACCGTCTCTATCAAGGAACTTCTCCAGGACAGCAAAGGGGGAGAAATCGATCTCGATCCCCGAGCATATTGGCAACGATACGCTTTGAACACGTCTTTGACACTGAACTATGGATACCGTATTGATGGCAACAAGAACGCGCCACTACTTAAGGAGATTGTCGATGTCGAGAGGGGCATAGGATCACTCAGATCGACAAGCAACAACTGGCAAGACTACATTCCGTTGCTACGGCTGATTCCAAGTAAAAACAACGAGGCTGAACACTTCCGAAAGAGGCGAGACGTATACATGGACAAGCTGCTCAGCATATTGGAAGAGAAGATCAAGAACGGCACAGACAAGCCATGTATTACCGGCAACATCCTTAAGGATCCTGAGGCAAAGCTAAACAGAGGTAAGACCTTTTCTATATCTCTACACCAGTCATTTACTAACACACCCACCAGCTGAAATCACCTCTATCGGCCTCTCCATGGTCTCCGCAGGCCTCGACACCGTCCCCGGCAACCTGATCATGGGCATCGCCTACCTAGCGACCCCCAAAGGTCAAACGATCCAACAACGCGCATACGAGGAAATCATGAAAGTGTACCCCAACAACGACGCCTGGGAGCGCTGCCTGGACGAAGAACGCGTGCCCTACATCACGGCCTTGTACAAAGAAATCCTGCGCTACTGGATCGTCATCCCCATCTCCCTGCCCCGCGTTTCAATCAAAGACATTGAATGGAACGGCACCGTCATTCCGGCGGGAACCACCTTTTACATGAACGCCTACGCCGGCAACTACGACCCATCTCACTTCACCAACCCGGAGACTTTCGATCCAGAGCGCTACCTCAACGTCCCCGATGGCGCAGGAACACCGCACTACGGGTACGGCGCTGGCTCGCGCATGTGCGTGGGCTCTCACTTGGCGAACCGTGAGCTGTTTACTGCGTTTGTCCGACTGATTTCTGCGTTTGAATTTACGCCGCCGGTTGATCCGAGGGATGAGCCTGTTCTGGATTGTCTGGAGGCGAATGCTCTGCCGACGAGTTTGACAATGGAGCCAAAATATTTCAAGGTGGGGTTCAAGCCGAGGAATAGGGAATTGCTGGATAAGTGGATTAGGGAGAGTGAGGAGAGGACGAAGGATTTGAAGTAAGGGGCGCGTGGGATTTAGTGGCAGTGATATGATGTTTAAGGTGTTGAGAGCAGGTCGTCGGTGTATCATGTGTGAGGCATTGAATCGCCTGTCATTGAGTATTTACCTTGGTAGACTCGAGCATAGTCAGTTTTATCATGTCTTTTTGTGTTTTCGTGTCTTGGAGCGTACTGTCCAATCTAATGAGCAGTTGTATCTGTTGCCTGCCACTACCGCATTCTCTTTGGAAAGCACGACTCCCTCGTTGCTTCTCACTCTCTCTCACAACATTGTTCACCTAAGCCACCCGTCATACCAGGAAGGAGCCTGTGGGCGACTTAAATGCGCAATCATTCTCCAAAGCAATGTCCATCATCATCATCATCATTGTTTTCTCTTTCTTCTTCCCCCATTAATCATTAAAGCAACAACGACAAACTAGCCAGACAAAATGTTGCCTGACCTTAACGGCTTCAACAAGTCCATTCTAGCTATCCCGGTTCACTTCATCAGTAAGCAAACGCTCGCTCTCGTATACATACATACATGTATACATACATACTAGACCTTCATTATCACGATGCTGACACTTCCAGTCTCGATGATGCCTTACGCCGTTGCTCGCGTCATTGCTACCAGAGGTAGGCTGCCTATCCAAAACATCGGCAATCTACGTGCTCAGGATACAAGAGCGCAGTTGGAGCAGCGTGTTCCTGCAGAGTCGTATGCCAGGTACATGCGTACGCGTGGCTGTTACCACTCTGGGATGGAGGCAAGTCTTGAGCAAGGTTTGCATACGGTTGTGTCAGTTATCTAATCAGGTGGCAGATTTTTCCCCTCTTTGTTGCAGCAGTGGTCGTGGGCAATATGGCTGGGCTGCCACAGGATATGCTCAACACCTTTGCGGTTTCGTCTGTTGCCTTTCGGGCTGCTTGCACGATGAGTTGTTTGCTCACGGTTACTTCGGAGGCTTTGTATGTTCGCGGCGGGCTCTGGGTCATGGGTGTTTGGATGTGCTTGGTTATCTTTGTTGAAGCTGCAGTGGCCATGAGTGACGGAAAGACAAAAGAGGTGCACAGGGTGATGTGAGATGGAACAAGCAGACAAGGAGATGGTGCACATGGCGAGAGAGGAGAACATGGGGAGACGCGCAATAGCAGTGGTGTCAATCATGTCTGCCTTGGAGCAATGACAACCGTGTCCAGTTGAGGATGCACCGGCGTTGTCTTGCACGAAACATTGTTGCCTAAGGCGACTGTGCGACGTTGCTACAAATGGACAATTTCGGGATGTTTTGGTCGCCTTGGGTAGCGGCAGGTGGTTTCACAATAGCGCCATGGAGCCGGCGAAACTGGTGGGACAGGTGTGGCGGCCTCGGTAACGAGTGTGCCAGGGCGGGCATGGAAACAACGAGGCCGTCAAAAAGCGTTGCAATATGCGTCGTGGCCGTGAAGTGCTCTCGCAGACAGGAATGCGGCGTCAGTGAATAGTGTAGTGCGGATAGCTGTGGGTCCTGGAGCTCACGCAATCCTGGGGCGGGTGAGGAGATCGGCCAAGCAGAGGCCAATGGCTGCCTGGACTGCCGCTCTGGACATTCAGGAGAGGCCAAACGTGTCAAGATGCGAGCAAGTGCATAAGAGCAGTTCCAAGAATGTAAAGGAGACGCTCGCCTCTCACCGCAAGTCCTTGAACCCGCGCAGATAAGCGATCGCTGATAGTTGTCACGTGCCGACGGTAGTGGCACTTACCAGCTTACGAACAGTGCCCAGCCTTCGCCGCGCTTTCCACCACATCTCTTCAACGCAGCCCTTCCTGTGCATCAATTAGAGTACATCCACATCCACCCGCCCCATCCCCGAATACCACCGACTCTCAACAACGTAGCCGTAAGTCGTCCCTCGCCGCCTTGTTTTTTCCTGTGATTGCTTTGTTCTACCCTACATCGCCTCCTCCGAGGCCAGCTTTCCTTCGGGCTGCGACTTGGGTTGGCAACAGGCCACGCCCCCCCCCAGTGCCTCTCTGCGCCAGCGAGGACCACGCCCGTCGTGGCATGCCCTTTCCGCCCATGACGCCATGGCTCTCTTCTCATCACTGTCCTGACAATTAGCGCCACAGGTTCGAGAGTCTATACACCGCCTTCCCACTCACCCTCCTCACACTCGCACATCCACCCACCGCAGTCATGGGTCTCACATTCTCCAAGCTCTTCGACAAGCTATGGGGAAAGAAGGAGATGCGTATTCTCATGGTCGGTCTCGACGCTGCCGGAAAGACCACGATTCTCTACAAGCTCAAGTTGGGTGAAATCGTCACCACCATCCCAACCATTGGTATGTTGCGCTGCATACGGCCACCATTGCGAAGGGCAGTGCGCTGACTCTTGTGCCCCCTTTTCCAGGCTTCAACGTCGAGACTGTCGAGTACAAGAACATCCAGTTCACCGTGTGGGATGTCGGCGGCCAGGACAAGATCCGTCCTCTGTGGAGGCATTACTTCCAGAACACCCAAGGTATCATCTTCGTCGTCGACAGCAACGATCGCGACCGTGTTGTCGAGGCGCGCGAGGAGCTCCAGCGCATGCTGAACGAGGACGAGCTCAGGGATGCTCTCCTCCTTGTCTTTGCCAACAAGCAGGATTTGCCTGTAAGCCTCCATCATCGCTCGCAAGTCTCGCAATTGCACAATGGCTAATCATTTCGTGACAGAACGCCATGAACGCTGCTGAAATCACCGACAAGCTTGGTCTCCACAGCCTCCGACAACGTGCCTGGGTAAGTTGCAAGCAGACCCACTTTGTTAGGGCGTCCCCACTAACCCGATGCAGTACATCCAGTCGACTTGCGCCACGTCTGGTGACGGTCTGTACGAGGGTCTCGAGTGGTTGAGCAACTCCCTCCGCAAGGCCGGTCACCAGTAAGTTCGCCCCTGGGGCGAGCTGTAATGTAGCGAGTCACGAAAAATGTCAAGTGCCTGTCCCTGCCCAGGCATCTCCATAACGAACGCGCGTCCCGCATGCCACGGACCCATGAAGTGTTATTTGCATTGGTGATGAAAATGTCAAATGGAAATGGTGGAGCGGAGCGGAGACTCTGGGTTTCTCTTGTCTGTGTCACCATTGGAGTTTTGTGAGTGCGTGTGTGGAATGGGGCTATGACATTGCGTTTCTAGGAGGGGTTATGGTTGGGGGACAAGAGTTGTTTGGTTGCTTTTTGCGTGGTACTATCAAATTTGAGCCTCTTCTTCCTAGTCGTTTGTCGTCGTCGTCGTCGTCGTCGTTGTGCCTTGCATATATCGTGTCATCTGATATTGGTTGTATCAAAAGATGAAGAAGAAGAAGAAGGAGGAGGAGGAGGAGGAGGAGAAGGAGAAGACAGAGGATGACAAAAAAGTTTCATTTGCTCTATGCTATTTCCAAAGGCTCACATTGCGGAAATGGTAAGGTAAGACATGCCAGAACGCCAATCGTCGTCGTCATCATCGTCATCCTCGCCTTTGACTCGGTTTTCGCGCTACATGTACAATGCAGAAATATGGACGGCCTCTTGTGGATTTGGGGGGAGGGGCCTCCATATCAAATGGGGCTACCCACATGCTTATTCGTTGGTCGATTGACGGATTCAAAAAGTAATTGTAGTTGTAGTAGTTGTAGTAGTAGTAGTAGTAGTAGTAGTAACAGACAGAACTATCTTCAAGACGCAGGCGGAGCATTCTCTTTGGCAGCAGTAATGGGAGGAAGCAGACCCTTCTCCGCCCAGAGGTCGACCAGCGGCTGCATGGGCTCAATCTCCTTGTCGCCGATGAGGTTGAAGAGCTTGCCGACGTTGATGAAGTGGATAAAGCATGTGTTGAGTTCCTTGTATGCACTCACGTTCCAGAAGGGTTCCAACCAGTGGCCGTGGTAGATGTGGGCGTAGCACCGCATCATCTGGCGGTAGATGCTCTTGATGTCGCCCTCGAAGGTTTCGGGGAAACCGGATGACTTGCCGAGCCATTCGCGTCCGGCCAGTTGGGATACGGGCTGGTTGAGGGACGTAGGTCCCGCAGGCTGTGGCGTCGAGTTGGGAGTCAGGGAGCCAGAGGCGTAGGTTGTCGTTCCAATCGAGATGGCGGTGGTGTCTGTAGGGAAGATGTTTGGGTCATTGATCTTGCCCACGATCCACTTTTGTACAAGGTTGATGTACTGGATGGCGGGGATCTTGATGGGCTTTTTGTTGTTGTCGAGCCAGGTATATGTGTGACCACTGGCCGACATGGTAGGGCAGACATCTGGGTTACAGATGGGCTTGCCTGTTCTGTCGTCGACTACCTTGATGACTTCAATCATTTGCTCCAGCAGTCTGTACTGCTCAACAACTAGTCACATGCTTTTAGCGCCATTTCCGGCCGAACCTCACACGTGGCAAAGCTTACCTTGATGAGCGAGCCATTCGCCCTCCTCGACAAGCTTGGGCTTTGCAGCCAGCGTCATGAAGTTGCCCTTGACAATCAAGTTGGAGTACTCCTCGCGGAAAAAGAAAGGCGGTCTGCGAGAGCCTGATGGCACGGACCCCTCGGATGGCGGGCCTTCGAACGACATGTTGGACGACAGAGCAGGCGAACCAGGCATAGGTGGTTGGTTTGGAGCGTGCTGAGAAGTTGGCGAAGCAGAGTATGAAGCCGTTGGTGACGAAGAGCCGCCTTTGCCTTGCTGGCCTTTGCTGGAGCGGCCGGCCAGTCCTTGGCGACTATCGGTGAAGTTGTTAGAAGACGGAAACACCTTTGAGGCCTCGGCGGGCGGGAATTGGAAGGTCAAAAGTGACCAAATCGCAGCTTCCCAGAGTGAGGCGGAGATGGCGAGATTGAAGCCGTACGAGGATATGCAGCAGATTTGCCTGAAACATACCAGGGAGGGGGAGTGTTTGGACTGTACTAGAGGAAAGGGAAGAGAGCACTCGAGCGAGGGCGAGCAAGTGCCAAGCAACTTACACGTTTGCGAAGAAAGAAGCCATTTGTTTGCGGGGTCCTGGCTATGGGCGTGCAGGGGCTGCAAGCGGCGAGACGAGAGCTATGGATGCACCTAGAGAGGGCCGGCTTGAGGAGTATGCAAGAGAATTGAAGGGGAAGAGGTGGTGATACGTCTCAAGCGGGCACGCTTTTTGGGCCCACTCGACACTCCCTTGGGCCTGCGTCGAGAAGGGGCGGGGCGCTATTGCCGCATCTGGTATAGCGCCCAGTACACGGCCTGCTGCTGGCGTCGTTGGGAACTTTGAAGCGGTGCAGCTGCTGCGTTCCAGTCCTCCGCCGTCCGTTGCTGTCCCATCATCACGTGTGGCATTTACTTGCCTTGTCCTTCACCGTCGCCCTGACACGCCCCGACACGTCTCGATACGCCCGTGTTTCTGCGCCTTGCAAACAACGCAACGCAGCCTTCGCCATTTGTCGCGACCATGTCCGACGCGGGCCACGATCCAACCCTGTCCGACGACGAGGCCAATGGCCATGCCACTCCTGCTGACGATGGCGAGGGAGGCACGCCGCTGAATACCGTCGAGGAGAATGGCCTTGACGACGACGACGATGACCTTTTTGGCGACGGCGGCGCGGACGATGACGCCGAGGGAGATGCGCAAGCGTACGTCGCGATAGAGAATAGTATGTGGCATTCAATTGACGTGTCACAGTGAACAGCGCAAGCTCGACGATGCCGAACTCGACTCCGGCGACGACGAAGGACGCACTGATCGCGTCAGGCAGGCAGAGGCTGTCGAGGAAGTCGAACAACAGACGTTCGCATACATGGATGCAGACCTGGCGCGCCATGCAGTCCCCGAGCCCACTGACAACGAACTCTACCTGCTCAAGATCCCGCGCTTCCTTTCCTTCGAGGATAAGGCCTTCGATCACAGGACATTCCAACCACCGACTACCGACCACCATTCCAAGGTCGGCGCGTCTGAACACTTCTCCGCTTACCACACTGCCATGACCACGATCCGATGGCGACACTCACCCTCGAATAACGCTGTCTTGCAGTCGAATGCTCGCATCCTAAGGTGGTCTGACGGTTCTTTTACCCTCCAACTCGCCAGCGATCCTACCGTGCAATTCGATATCGATGCCAACACGCTTGCGCCACCCCAGATAAACCCCAAGATTCCCACTCCCACAGCAGTCAGGGAAGACAAAACCGGCGCCAAGACGAACGCGAAGAAGGAGAGTTACACATATCTCGTGGCCCCTTACGAAGAGGCCAATGTTATGCGTGTGACCAACAAGCTCACTGCATCTCTAAACGTTGTGCCCGCCGCAAACACAAAAGATGCCGCATTGGAGAAGCTGCAAAACGATCTTGCAAAGGTGGCATCCAAGGGTCGGGACGATGCGGATCAGGCCATTTCTTTTATCAACGTAGACGAAGACCCCGAGCTACGCCGACAACGTGAAGAAGCCACATTCAAAGAGAAGCAGCGGCAACTGCGCGCCCGCGAGAAGCACGAAGCCCGCCAGGCCGAGCGCGCTAATCGCACCATGGGCCGCAGCAGTGGGCGAGCATCAGGAGGTGGACTTGATGTTGATGGACTTGAAGACCGCGCTCCTAGGAAACAACAACAGAGAAAAGGTGGCGGCTTACGGCGTGACTGGAGCGACGATGAAGATTATGGCGGCCCTCGGAGAAATCGTGAGGACGACTATGACGAGGAGGATGACTTCATCGCTGCTAGTGACGAGGAGCCAGAGATTGTCGAGGACGATGACGACCCAGATGAAGGCATTGCTCCAAGTCCGAAGAGAGCAAGGGGCGGGGCTGTTGCAGCAGATGACGACGACGATGATGATGAAGTTGTGGTTAGCCGGACAAAGCGGAGACGTGTGGTTGACGATGACGAGGACGAGGAGTAGGATGTTCCTTTGAGGCGATTATATTACGCATGCCAGAGCCAGAGCCAGAGCATAGTATCATTACTCAGCTGGTTCCGTATCTGGCTCTCAAAATTATTGGATACCAACATAGCCCGGAGTTTGAGTTTGTCTTTGGTGTACAAATACCTTTAGTATTACAAAGTATTTTTTGGCGAGAGAAATTGACATGTTTAGTCGCCGAGTCATGCTGTTTTGCAGAATGATGTTTGACTGACTCTTTCCAAGATAGTTTGAAGGATCGAGTCTTGTCGGATATCCGCTTTACTCACTTGCCTGATGTACACTAGTGTGATGCACTAATTCAGGTCCATGTATACTATATTTGAGTCACCCTACTATTACACTGACTACCCTTTTCAAAGATTTTGGGAGGGAAGACTTGAGCCAGATTTACCAACCCGTTTTCTTTCAAGATGGATTTCTCAGAAAAGCTGCACGTGGGCTGGATAGGCTTAGGGTCAATGGGTCTGGCAATGGCGGCGAATATCCAGAAACACATACAACAACATCCAGACGCTTATCCGCCGCTAAAATACTGGAATCGAACACTCTCACGAGGCAAACCGCTGGAAGAGCTCGGTGCCACGGCGTGTCCCACAATCGCAGATCTAGTCCAAACCTGCAATGTCATTTTCATATCTGTACATATTCCTTTCCCTCTCTTCTCTAGGGAGTACTCATCTTGCGTATAAAAACATAACTGAGGATCTCCAGGTCAGCGACGACACAGCCCTAACCACCCTGGCCACCACCATCCAATCCAGCGGCCCCCTCTCCCAAAAAATAATCATCGACACAACCACCGTCCACCCCTCCACCACCACAACAATATCCACTTCCTTCGCCCAGAAAAACGCTTCTTACATCTCTGCCCCCGTCTTCGGCGCCACCCCCGTCGCAACCGCAGGCCAGCTCCTCATCGCCGTCGCCGGACCCCCCGACGCTATTTCTCGTGTAGCGCCGCTGCTCAAAGGCGTCCTGGCACGCCGCGTACTCCATGTCGGCGATGAAGCCTCGCAAGCCATGTTACTCAAGACCACCAGCAACTTCGTCACAGCCGGCTTGATGACATTGCTGTCAGAAGCCCACATTCTAGCCGAGACGTCTGGACTCCCCTCTTCCACTCTCGAATCCCTCATTGAAGAAAATTTCGGCGCGTATGCACTCGGTGTGTCGCAGCGCCTAACATCTGGATCTTACCTTCCTACTGTGGGACAGGCGCCGGCGTCGGGGCTGGAGCTCGGGATCAAGGATGTGGGACATGGGGTTGCGGTTGCGAGGAAAAAGGGGGTCCAGTTGAGGATTGGGGAGATGTATCTTGAGGCTGCGGGGGAGGCGAGGGGGTATGTGGAGGAGAGGGGGCGGAGGGCGGATAGTAGTGCAGTGTATGGGGTTTTGAGGCAGAGGGCTGGGTTGGGGTTTGAGAGTGAGGTCGTTAGACGGAGGGATGGAGAGGGTAAGAAGGAGGTGGTGGTGGAGGATGTGCTACGGAAATAGGTACTGAGAATGAAAATGATGGAAGTGGGATACGCTTGGTAGCCATGTAGAGATGAAAAGCTCAATAGTGACCAACATGAAAGCGTGCATGACTCCCATTTCTGTACGCAATATCCAGCATGTAGTCTATCCAAATATAATCGACGCCTATGCAAAACCCCAACCTCTTATATATATATCCGCTACGCACCTTCGGCAGCCCTTCGCTCCGCCTCTACTTCCGCAATAACAACTTTGCGTACGCCTTGCCAACCCTCGGCCTTCTTGACATGGCTGACTCGCCTCGGCTTATCCTCGAGTCCCTTGAACTCATCCGGCAATACCTTCGCCTGGAAATACTCCTTCTGCTCCGGCAGCGCGAGCTCAACCGCGTTTGCAAACTTGGCTGGGTGCGCAGTCGCAAGCGCAATATGGTGTATGCTAGGAGGCTTCGCTACCTGTACCGAGCGCAGTGTCGCCGCAATACCAATAGCCGAGTGGGGGTCAAGGACGTAGTTCTTGGAAGATTCCGCGTTAAAGACGTACTTGATGGTCTCAATAGTCTCCTCATCGCTGACACGGTACGAGGAAAAGTCGGCCTTGGCAGCCTCTAGAATCTGCTTGTCTACTGCAAAACCATCCTGAGACTTGAGCTCGTTGAGCCAGTTCCGTACGTGGTCACCTGCTTGGCTTCTCCTTTGTGATACAGCATCCGAGTTTGTGCTGTATACGTCGTATGAGAGGAACCACAGCAGACGCTCAAAGTTTGATGAGACGAGAATGTCCATGGCTGGACTCAGCGTCTCCTTGACTCCGCCTTCGTGCGCCTTGGCACCGTCTGCTGGTATACCGCCCTCGGCCTCCTTGCCGTGCACAGGGTGCTTTTCGTACTTGCCGGTTTCCCAGAAGCGGTGCAGGATGTCGTTCTCGTTGGTGGCAATGACGAGCTTTTCAGCAGGCAGCCCCATGCGCTTCGCGAAGAAGCCAGCGAGAATGTCTCCAAAGTTGCCGGTTGGTACGACGAAGCGGACGGTGGAAGCGGGGAGGAAGGAGGATTTCTTGATGAGGTCAAAGTAAGCGTAGAAGTAGTAGGTGATTTGCGCAAGGATACGGGCCCAGTTAATGGAGTTTACGGCAGCGAGGCGGTGCGTCTTGTTGATTTCCGGGTCGGCGAAGAGGGCTTTTACAAAGTCCTGGTGCTGTTAGTAGTGTGTTGTAAGCTATCAACTTTGTACATACCTGGCAATCGTCGAAAGTGCCGTCTACGGCCAAGTTGTGGACATTGGCGTCAATGACGGTCGTCATCTGTGCTTCCTGGATGGGGCTAACCTTGCCGTGCGGGAACATGATGAAGACAGACACATCCTTCTTTCCACGCAAGCCGTAGATGGCTGCTGAACCAGTGTCACCGCTTGTAGCGCCAATGACAGTCAGATGCTCTCTATCGCGGCCCTCCTTGCCCTGGTTCTTGCGCACAAGGAAGTATTCGAACAGATTGCCGAGAAACTGCAGAGCAACATCCTTGAATGCAAATGTAGGCCCATGGAACAGCTCCAGCAAATGTATGTTCTTCTCTTTGTCGAGTGTAACGGTGGGGACGACGTCTTTTGCGCGGAAGGTGGAGTAGCTGCGGCGGATGATGTCTTTTAGGTCTGCAGATGGGATCTCTGAGGGGGAGATGTAGAGGGAGAAGATTTCAAAGGCGAGGTCTTCGAAGGAGAGGTCTTTCCACTTGGACGCCCAGTCTTCGGGAAGCGCGGGGATTTCTTCGGGGATGAACAGGCCACCGTCTGCAGCGAGGCCCTTGAGGACGACATCCTCAAATGAGAACTGCACATGTTAGCATGCGACTGCGCCCACAGTTTGCGCTGCCCTTACGTCGTAGGAGCCACCACGGGTGCTCAGGTAGCGCTGCGATGCTGTATGTGAAGACATGGTATTAAATATATGCAGTCGTCCAACAAACCAAAAAGTAGAAAGTCAAGATGCTGACTTGGGGACAATGTAGAGTCATGGTCCCCATGGGGAAAATTGTTGTTGTAGCTCCGGAATCGCTGACTGACTCAACCACTCAAATGCCCCGTCCCGTCAGCTTCCAGAACGCATGCACGAGGCATCTAGGCTGACGCATGATGAAAAGTTAGTTCTCTTGCCCCCGTCGCCTTTTCTTGAACGAACAAGGACTGTTTTCAGGGCCTTTGCGCTCTGATCACAGGCAGCCGCAGTCATTCCGCTGCCCCGCCACGCGCAAACCAAGCCCCCCGCCACATCTGTTCCTGCATCATGCGGCGATGTCGGCGCAACCACTCCATCCCAACAGAGAAAAGAATTTGCTCACCAATACTACAAGTCTGCTCGACGGATTATTCGAATGGTCGGTGGGCTGTTGTAAATAACTCTTCAAGCCCGTGTTTTCCATGGTGGGGTAATATATATGAAGTCGTTATAGGAACTCTCTGTAGTACTCAGTCTATGGTTGTCAAAACTATTAATAGGAAGGGTCTTCTTCTCAACCAACTATCCAAATTCATATAAGTGATGACATTGCCTGCCATCCGCAGGTTTTTTCAAAGGACAAGCATTAAGGGCACTACAATACCTGAAAGCAGTATAGTGAATGTGCTCCTTGACTCCATAGTTACTAAAATATGTAACACCGATAAACACAAGCACCAACAGAATCCTCCCATTTGCAACTGCAATCAAGCTCATCCTGAAAGTCCACAACTACCACCCTTGAGCAGCGCCAACAACCAAAAGTAACAAGAGGCCGCCTATTCGAAAGCCGCCGGTTGAACGCACACTTGTATAATCCCAGCGTCGCAGAACTCATTCATAAAAGCAATCGCGTTCCACACTACACACCTTACATAATACTCCCCCTTCCATCTCAACCCCGCGTCCTCCCCAAGCTCAAACGCGTGAACCGGTGAAGTTCAAAATACCCATTGAACCCAGTGCGCAGACGACGACCAAGATATCCCGCTGTCATCCCTAGGCGAAATGCTATGCGGAAGCCCCATACGGGCGGGTAGTGGAAGAGGCAACGCGCAAGGTTGGGGGATACGACGGCTAACATGGAAGATATGATGATTGATTTACTTGGGGATGAATAGCTAGCGGAAGAGACGGGAAGAGACGATGTTGTTGTTTATTCAAGTTTGGCGGTCGATAAGCACCGCGGGGGCGCGGTATTCACGTGATTGGGGTTTCCGCTAGTGTCCGGATGATAGTAGTGATGCGGAGTACATACGGTATGTGGAGTGCTTTGTACCATTTTTTTCAAATTCCAAGCCTTTTCGCTCTCTCGGGTACCACTAAAGGTCTGTGAACTCTAGTATACATGGCTACTTGATTTAAGTATGTGGTAGTTATAAGAAGTCGCAGTAGTAGCCGCGGTGTTACACGGGGTCTGGAGTGCTAATACTTCTCTNGCTCGATCCGGGTTAGGGCGAGTAGGATTTGGATTAGCGCCGTAAGAGTTGCCTAGCGATTCTTACTAGAAAAGAGTTATAGATATAACTAAGAGTTTAATAATACTAATTTATTTAATAGACTAATATATAACTATCTTATTAAGTAAAAGATACTAGTAAGAAAGTATAATTTAAGTTAACTATAATAAGAGTAAATAATAAAATCTATCTATCCTTATATC